ACGTCGACGTCACATCCAGGAGGTCACAAAAGAACCCAGATGAGCACTGAAAGAACTGCAGACCTCACGTGCCTCAGTTAAGGTCAGTGAACATGAGTCCACAATAAGGACGACACATTAGGGCAAGAATGGTATCAATGGGAGAGCTGCAAGACATAAACCACTCCTGACCAAAACGTACATAAAGGCACGTTTGTCATTTGCTAAAAACATATATATATATAGATGAGCCCCAAGTCTTTTGGGATAATATCCTGTGGACTGATGAGTAAAAGGTGGAACTTTTATGAAGACATGGGTCCTGTTACATTTGGCATAAAGCTAAAACTGCATTCCTCAAGAAGAACAGGATACCTGCAGTGAAACCTGGTGGTGGTAGTGTGATGGTTTTTCATGATCGATGGAGACACGAACTCTGCTCTCTATCAGAAAACCCTTTTGGAGAATATCAACCATCAGTTCATGACCTGAAGCTCAGACTCCAAATGGTTCTGCAGCAGGACAGTGACCCAAAGCACACAAACAAGTCCACCTCTGAATGGCTGTAAAATAACTAATGAGAGAATTAATTTTCACTCAAGCAACTCATTCATTTTTATTCATTCCACTGCAGAGAATCTAGTGATCCCAGTTCAGAAAGAAGAATGCAGGTCAGAAAGCAGAAACCAAAACATCAGGTTAGTCTTGGACATTTTATTGTTTAAAATTGCAGAGTGCTCGGTTCATGTTTTCATACTTTGCCACTTTCACCTGAGCATTTTAATCACTTTCACTGCTTGAACCTTCCTGTTTTACTTGTAAAAATTACTTTCAAATATCTTGTGTGACAGAAGTTTCTCGAGTGCAATGTTATAGAAGTTTTTACACACTGAAGCAACGTTAGTTGTCATGAGGGATAATCGGGGAACCCAGGTGCAGACACAGATCAAACAGGCAGGCAGGTGAGGTGCAGACAAAGATTTATTAAACAACTGAATATAAGCTGAGGTGCAGAAACAAAACTGAGGGGGAGAAACCGAACAGGAAAGCCAAGCTGAATTGCGAATAAAATAAAATATGAAAAATGCAAAGTAAGATTTGTTTAGCTCGTATGCATTTCAAATGAAAATAAATGTTGATAGTTGAATGAAATAATGACGTTTTTTTGTGAAAACAGCAGTGTCTGCATTTTACAGTATGTAATCATTTTGTTCATTTACAGTAATTAAAACTAATAGTTGTGCCTGTTATTGTAGTCTAATGTTTGATGTGATCAAAAATACAGCAACTTATTCCAGTGATGACAGTTACAGTACAGTAATTATTACTGTAATATCAATTACTGTGAATGCATTTACAGTAGGAATACTGTAGAATGTACAGTACTACAGCAGCTTACTTGCCAATTGCTGCCAGCTACTGACATTTTATGGTGTTCTTTTTATAGTGTATCCTGTTCATGTGGCGTTCTTCATGTGTTCATCGTTGTCACTTCCTCTGTTCATTTATAAGTACTATTCATTTTGTGTCTTCTCTCTCCCATACTTTGATTTGTCCTCCCCGTCCTCCTGGTCCCTTTTTCTCTCTGCAGGTATTTCGAGCTCTGGTCTGATCTGTAGCTACTGGTCCCACCGATCTGTCCAGTGTTGGTTCTGTTCATCATTGCTGTCCTTCTTACTCCCTTTCACGATCATCCCAAGATGTCTGCCTTTCCTGACACTGGTTCTGCTGGAGGGCTCTTCCTGTTAAAAAGGAGTTCTTCTTCTTCACTTTTACCAACATGCTTGCTCACAGGAAGTCTTTGGATTTGTTGTAGGGTGCTAACTTTAACTTTTTAATTAACCAGACACATTTCCATAATTAGTAATATTGTACGGTTTCTATGTTATTATTTAATATAGTCAGGTGAATTTTGTGTTTGAGAAACATTTGTAGGGTTTGACCATAGTATTTAAATTACTCTGGTAATTTTGTACATTTGATAATACTGTCTTATTCTTAACATTTTGTTTCATTATACTCATTGCTAATTTACTTTTCCACTAAAAAGCACTATAACGTGCTATATATGGAGACAACTAAAGTGAACGTTTTGAGTGTCTTGTCTATCCCAGACGTTCATTCTGCAAAACTTGCAGCCGGAAGACTTTGCTGGGCGTCAGGACAGTGAACGGCGCTGGAATTGCGGCGATCGGTTGTGATGTGGACATACTACACCGACACAGAGTCTGATGGGAGACTACACCGGCAGTTACCCGAGAGAGAACGAAGCACGTAAACGTAAACAAAGGACGAGGACGAGAGCTGGGATCCATGCTAGGCTAAAGGCTAACCCCTCCAGACCAGCAGGATCCATGCTAGGCTAAAGGCTAACCCCTCCAGACCAGCAGGACCGTCGCTCCTACTCTCCAATGTCTGCCCCCTCGACAACAAGCTGGACGAGCTGAGTTTGCTGAGAGAAACCCGCAGAGAGTGGAGGGACTGCTGTGTGTTTGCTTTAACAGAAACATGGCTCCATGACAACATCCCAGACGGACATACAGCTGGTGGGGACGACATCGTTGAGGACGGATAGACAGACAGCTAGCTCTGGGCAACATCTGCGGCTTCACCGTCGTGTGTGTCTTTGTGTCCCCGAAGACCAACCAGGTCTTCGCCATGTTGAACATGTTGGTGGTGCGCATGGATGCAGCGCCCCCTTCAGGAGACAGCAACAATGAACGTTTGATGTCTTATCCCAGACGTGCATTCTGCAGGACTTGCTGATTGAATAATCCTGAAGAAACGCTCTCTCATCTTGCCTGTACTACTGTGATGTACAGCAAAATAACAATAAACCTGATTTGATTTGACAAGTAACAGTAACTTGACTTATTTCTGCAAATGCAAGTCATTTCATATTCTGAACCCTAGCATTAAATGAGATTGATTAGATAATCAGATTATTTATCAAAGTTTGTTCATGAACATTGAAGGTGAAGACCAGGTTCTGCGATTGCTGCTGATCCTCCTGATAAAGTTGTCTGCCCCAATATCAGGTTTTCATCTTAAATACATGTTATATATGAGCATTTGTGGAATTTCATCGCTTTTTTGACTGGAACATAAAATACACAAACCTGGGAAACTGCAAGCATTTGAAAGAAATTCAGAGACTGTAATGTTGTTTTAATCCAGTTGCAATGATGTCGTGATAAGAGGCCGAGAACTTCATGAAATAGCCTTGTGTATCTGGTTTGTGTTCAGTCAGACTGCGATGATATGCAAGTTTTCAAATCTTTTGTTGAATTTTTAGTTTGTGGTGAGGTTGGTGGATTGAGTTATCCTGTGGATCAGTCAACAAAATATAATAAGCTTAATTAAAGATAGAATTTATTCGCAAGCTGTTGAATTTTAGAATAGTAATTCAGACATTTCAACAAATGCCGCTGACATCTACTTTTGTCACATTGCTGCCTTGTGTAAACATCAACACTTGCTATATGAAGCCTCTGAAAGTATAAATAAATTCATCTCCTCTTTCCACTGATATCTGCCTCAGCTTCTGTTCCGTCTTGGCTTGTCCACCACAAAACCCAAACTCTGCAGGCCCCATCCTGACACCGCCTCCGCCCATTCCTCGTCACTCATTTGTCTCGTCTCAGAGTCTTGCAGGGTGCTAGTGACCATCACCACAGCAGAATGACTGGGCAAGTCTTGGTGCTCTGAACCAACAGAACTGGAGCTGATAATATGTGTTCCTGTGGTACCAGAAACTTCTTTCTTTGTCTTTTCTCTTCCAGTAAACTGACTCAGATGAAGAGCTTCACCTTTTTCACGTCCAAAATCAAAATCTGACTTACCGGTGTCCCTCCGCCCAGCTGGACGAGCAGACTGGTCCGATTCTGACCCTCTGATGTGAACAAGATTATCTCTTTCTGATCCTTTACTGTTACCAGAATCACCCTCTGCCCTCTTATCAGACTTATTAACATAGTTCATCTGTTCCGACCACAGCACAGTATCGAACTGATCCAATTTCAGTCGGCTCTTTCTGGACTTTATGGCACCAGGAAAACCAGAGGAGTCAGTTTCAAAGTTACTGGTGTCAGAATGTAACCCAGCTACTGTCTCTAATGTGCTGCTAAACGGGCCATCATCAGGATTTGAATCCCAAACAGAACTACGTCTCCTGGAACTAGACTTATAGGGGGAAAAGCTGTCTTCACTAACAGCAACATACACGGTACCGTGTCTAACACCATCACTACTCTGGTCATGCTCGACTGCACTGTTGGCAGAACTACAGCTAACTTCGTCACCGTCAGGACAAATTGTAGTTATAGGAATCATAGCTGTGGAAAGATCTTCAGCAGAGTCCTGATTACTTACATTATGTTTAAAACCTTCAGTGGAGTTTCTTGTACTTATAGTGGTGTTACTAAAACTATTTCCTGAAGCATTAGTACTACCATTGTCACTGAATAAACCAATCACAAAATCAGTTTTAGAATATGGGACCTCCTCCCTCACCTGAGCAGGTTCATTTGGTCTACTCTCATCTGACATAATGAAGCCATCTGTTGCCAGTTCTTTCAGCAGGCTGTCTGCTGTCTCCGCAATGACCATTTCTTTCTCACGTTCCTCCTTCTCTTTCTTTTCCCACTGGCTGATTGGAGCCAGGTTCCATTCTTCTTTCTCACCAAGGATCTCTTCTTCTTCCTCATGAAAAATCTTAGGCTCCTTTGGGAAAGTTTGAACTTCTTTAAGACGCACATCCATTCTTTCTTTCCTCTTCTCCTCTTGATCCACCCTTTCCTTTCTGTGATCTGTTTGAAAAGATACCACCGCCATCCTTGGTTTCTGTTCCCCCTTCTGTCCAATGAACCAGCCTGGACTGCTGACCGTATTCTTGATAGCTGAGAAGAAAAAAAAAAAAAGAAAGTTACAACTAAATATTCTCATATGGTGTCGATTTTTAGTACTAGTTGTAATTTTGCATGTTATTCTTTGGCTATTCATCATTACTGTCAAGTGTTTTCTTATCTTTTGTTTCCAGCTGATGTGGTGATTTCATTTCTTTAATCTGACGACATTCTCAGAACTTACAGTCGTCTGCGTCACTGCACGTGGAATCACAGCAGGAGCATACTGACGGTAAGGCTTCCAGCTCCTCCCACCTACACATGAAAGAACAAAGCAGTGCTGTCTGTTAGTAAAAATAGTTTATTTCATTAGACATCCACAATAGAGTGCTAAAAAAACCCAAACATAACAAGAAATATACCCAAAAGACATATAGAGACCAGTCAGATAGCGTTGTGTTCAACATCAATCTGGTGGTCAGTATGGCTCTACGTATAATGTTGTGACAAGTATATGTAAATTTGATGAGAGAATTTTGTTTAATATTTGTATTTTGTAGGCATCGCTATCAGAGTCCATACGATATCCAATCGGTTTCTTTTGCTAGAACCAACAAGTCTGACTAAGAAATTGTGCAAACTTAAAATTAAGAGCAGTTATCTAAATGAAAAAATGGGCCATTTGTGCTTGACAAGATTATTTATGTTTGAAGAGAAAAATTCAAGATTTAATCCTCCTAAAATAAAGCAGATTTTCTTGAATTCCTTTTCTGCAGTGTGAATCAACAGTGACATCTGTGATACACCCTAAGATTCTCTGTGGATGTTATCCACGAATAACAACACTTTTGATCACCACTGCACTGAATAAGATTATGGTTAATTTGCCAAACAAAACTTTCTTTTTTGTATGTACAGACAAGATGCTGTGCAGGTAAATTTCACAGCTTGGATGCAGGCAGAGATCCTTGTTGAGGAGGTGAAGTCAAACAAAAAGAAAAGCACGAGCAGCAATGATCATGTAGCTGTTATGTTTTAGAATGATTGTAGTTAGTTTGGAATTCCACATTTGTGCTGTAGCTTTTTCTTCTTTTCTTAAAGCTACAATCTCACTAATTTCACTAATAACCCCTTATGGCCACCCATGCAAGCTACCTCATTTGCCCATGCACAAAAACAAACAAAAGATTAGTGCAATCATGTCTTCAATAAATATATGTTTACATATCGTTATTCTTTATCCATATTATACACCAAAGAAAAAAAAAAAGAAAAAAAGCACATATTAACATGTCTGGTGCTTTAATCTAAAGATGTCAGTATCCACCAATCAGCCACAACATTTAAACTACCTGCTGATTATTATATAATTTCCCTTCATGCTCTCTAAAGAGCTCTGACCTGTCAAGGCATGGGCTGGGACTCTGGAGGACCCGTTGGTCCTGAGGGTTGTGGGGCCTCCATGGGTTGGACATGTTTAGGTGCATCCTGTGGATGCTTGATTGGACTGGTTCCTGGGAAGTTTGGAGGCCGGGTCAGTGCTATAGACTTGTCATTTTCCTGAGAAGCTTAGGCGAGCGGTGTGTGTCAGAGTAAAATCCCCATGAATGCGAGGACCCGAGGTTTTCCACCAGAGCATTGCATTGTGACAAGATGATCAATGTTATTCGCTAACATTCTAATGTTGTGGCTGATTGGTGTATATTGGTGTCTTACCAGCCATGTTCATGAGTTGTTTTTAAAAAAAATAAAATTGGTTGCTAACCTGCCAGCAGCGTTGTTGTAGTTGCAGGACTTTGCATTGTAGGAAGTGGTGAGACCGACTGACACTGAACAGTGGAGATACTGTACCTACACAAAGAAACACACAACAGATGATTCTGATTATTACATGTTCTTCTTGGACACATCTCCTCTTGGATGTCACAGAAGGTTGCCAGGAATGGATCAGTCATAGTTCTGCACAACTTCACTTTATTGTGGAAATGGTCAATGTAAAAATAAAACATTTTGTAGACTACTGCAGAGTACAGCTCAACCCAACTTTGACTGCTCCATCAAAATAACAAATTAAAAGTGGTTGTAATCTTTCATCAAATTAAAGATGGCTTTGATCTTACCTCTGAGGCTGCTTTGAAGAGAAAGGAATCCACAGAGAACTTCAGCACATTGTCCACACCGGAGAGGAACTGGGATCTGCTGCCTTCTCTCCTGCTGTCTGTCATGCAGCTGCAATCAAAGCACACAACCTCTGAAATCATGTGAAGTTTCAGACCAAGTGATGTAAGAAATGTGTATATCTTACTAGAAACACACCCGTAGTTGGTAATAATATCCACTTTGGGCAGGCTCTTTGGATCTTTAGAGGCTGAAGCATAGCACACATCCACATAAAGCCTCTCCCCATTCAATAGATTCCCTGTCTGGACCACAAAATACACAGGTTCCCCTAAAATGAACCAGTGGCCTGGAGGGAGGGGTTCCCACTGGGCTGTTAGAAACACACACACACAGCAAAGACATTAAATCCTTTGTCTGAATTTGCATTTGATTTTGTATTCTCTATTGTAGATGAGAAATGCTCAGAGACTGTGCTGTAGAAAAGTTTGGATTTTGATGACATAGTTACAGATCTTCTTACTTCATCTTGTGCCCACATACAAGGAAAGTTTAAATGCATTTAAAATATTCTGGCAACTGTCTTCAAGTTCACTTTGAAATGCTTTAAATGTGAAGTTAAATAAATAAATATCTGACAAAATAGCCCATTTGAAAAGAGAAAACTGTAGAAATACAATCAGAAGATTAAGATGGATGAATAATTCTGATCACTTTAGCCTTTCAACACATGTCAACTATTAGAAAAAAGCAAGTTAAGTTCAAAAACAACTCAAAGGAAAAAGAAGGTGACAGTAAAACACTTTCAAGACACTGGAAACATCTGCATTACCATTGCAGACAGTGACACTGAAGATAAGTTTACTCCTGATTCTTTTCAAGAAGTTTGCTTGCGTAACTTGAGGTTTGAAGCCAACTTGGTAAGAATAAAGAAACCTGAAACAGACAGAAGTTACACAATATATACATATAAAATACAGCAAGATCACAAAAGAGCAATGCTGAGATGAATGCTGCTGAAAGCCCTGAAAGAGTGAGTGAATAAAACCTGTATTCAGTAACCATGGATACAAGTGGTAATAATGACCTGTTGTAATGGCAGTGGATGGGAAGATCCAGTGGTAGAACTCTGATGACGTAGCCTTGTGGAGGAGGAGTATATGTCAGTGAATAGGTATACACCAACTGACCATCAACAACCTGAAAATGATAGAAATGTTAGAATTTTATATAAATTAGAGCTGCAGGCAAAAATGATCAGGCCCCAACACCTTCATGTGCGCAAGTGTCACAATGGAGGGTTTTCATGGTGGGCTTGCAGAGGTCTGGAGTCTCGGTGCATCAGACAGGAGTTACATACCATTTCCTGTGCTCACTATATGACACAGAAACACCCACTAATTACATGTCATGTTGCTTTGTATATACTACATGGTATAAAAGTTACAACAACAAAAAAAAAGTGAAAAAAAGATTTCGTATATCCCAATACATAGTGAATCAAATGTAGTTTGCCAAACAAAACAAAAACAAATGTTGTACTACATTTGGTTGAATTGGAATGATGTTTGTCACATTAACATGACTTTCTTTTGCCAATAAGTGGCACTATGACTACTAAATATTGACCAGTAGATGTGTCCAGGCTGGAACTGGTTTCAACCAAGAAGCTCCAGTTTGGAACCATCAAAATTCACCACGTCACCAGAGCAAAGCTTCCTCAAGTCTTGAGGATTTTCTCGCTACAGTCTGAGGTGGATGTGATCAACATGGTAAGCAGTGGACATCACAGTGTAAGAAAATGCAATTTCTTGTTGCTAGTAAGTAGAGCTAAGACTGCAGTTGGCACATAGAAGTGTTCAGGCCAGGATGCTTTTCAAAGATGTAAAGTTTGTAGCAGTTTGGGTGTGTTTTCTATGAAAATGATGACTTTTTCATGGCAAGACAGATGATTGCCATGATGCCAAGAACATAAATGTAAACATCAAATTTACTATCAAGAGGGTCTTTAGATTAGACTGACCACATCTGATGTTGATTTCATTAATTCTCTTGTTTGTTAAATGGCTGAGACGGTGCCAAAAATTGCACAGCATTGCAAACTTTCTCAGGTAAATAAGGGCACAATACATAATTCATATGATGAGGTCCGATTTCTTCATTCAGATTTTTAACTGTTTTTCAAGAAGAATGACCGACAAGGATGTTGCAATGTTTCAATAATGTTAACAATGAAAGCATTAAGCTATGAAGTCAAATTGGGTGTTAAATGTTCCCGACATTAATTTAGCTTTGAATGTTTGCCTTCTGCACAAACATATACAGCTAGAAAAACTTTGGAAAAGTAGCTTCACTGTTTTACAGTCTATCCTAAATTGCAAATAACCAGATTTTGCGGTTTTCTTTTTTCCCCCCCACACACAAATTAGTGCCTCAGTTGGAACTTAGTATATCAAACTGGGGCTGCTGGATAGCAAATTTCCACCTTTTGCTTTTTGTGCCAGAAGAAACAACTGACAGAAAAATTAATTTCACAGGACTTATATGGATCTACTAAGGTAAAATCCAAAATTACTTTCAGTTGGGCCTTAACAACAAGATTGTAAGATTTAAGAGTTAACACGTTTGAAACTACCTCAGTCACATTAATAGTTGTCACATTTGACAGCTGACTTTTTTTTGCATATTTAGTAATAAATGTGAGGAGAGATGACAAGAAGTTAAAAACATTACACTGATGGTTTGTCTGTTGATTCAGTGGTGTCCTGACCTTAGATTCTCCATCACACTCCGACAGTCTGTAGTGGAAATACAGGAAGCGGGGGCTGACTCTGGAGGCTTCACATGAGCCCAGTCGGAAGAGGGACGGAACAGTCCGAGTGCGCAGCTGGAGGCGGTCCACGCGCACAGAGACCGTGTCCACGCCGCACCGGACCTCCACAGCGCGGTCCTCCGTCCCCTGACCGGGCCGGTGTTGTCTTTTTGTCGGTAACAGCAGTGCGGTCAGTTCATCAGGAAGCCTCCTTTTACGCGGATCGGGCAGAAACAGTTCCGACTTAACGAGCGGCTCCGGTGCGTGCAAGAACACGGGGAGACGGTGGTACAGGTGCGCGTCCTGGAGTGCGTTTTCCGGGTTTGTCTTTTCCGGCCATGTAGGGCGCTGAAGCGGACCTCCCATTGTACCGTGAAGTAGTCTCCAAAGAAGACAGACAAACATCAACATGATCTGGAAAACAGGAGCAACAAGGAGGACAAGTGCTGGAAGTGGCGACCAGTGGAGAGGCAGGTCTGGCTCTGATCACATCCTCCAGCTCAACATCATTATCACCTGGTTCACTGATTGTCCTCACAGCTGCGTTAGACCGCTTATCACAGGGACGTGTTTCCAGGGGCTTATGTGTTGAATGCCATTCAGGCAATAAATGAAAACTAAGTCACCTATGATTGTCATTCAATTGATGACATCTATGTATTTATTCTTGTATTTTCATATTTTACTTAAAAATACAAGCAAAAAAAAAAAAAAAACATGAACACCAATCAAAACTTTAGTCAGAGAGGAAAAGTAAAGAAAACGTTTTACATTGAAGACAAGATTCTCTTCATGTATATCTTAGGAATAATCAAAGCTTAAACTAGTTGGAAGATTTTATGTTAAAAAAACAACAACATCAGCAACAACAAAAAGAAATCACACCAAACATTTAGCTTCACTGTTCTCGATGTATTGACCGGTAGGGTTAAATAAAGTTTGTTCAGCCACCTGGAATAGTTTGGATGAATTTGTCCAGCTTCCCTGAAAGGTGATAACGTTCCTACTTAAGCACACAGCATGTCACCACTTTTTAATAGTACAAGCTAAGATATATTTTTAAAAAATCACAATTAAATTAAGGATGTTGATCAAACATATGTAAAATGATTGATGTGATGTTCCAAGACTCTGGAGAAGACTTGGGGAAGGTGAAGTCTGATATAAAGTGGGATCAAATGGCAAGACCAAGGGGCAACTTTTTTTTTTCCTGGAGCATACAAGCAACAATAAAACCCCCAAAAAAACTCTCCACATGATTTTATGGCATTCATTGTTGACAAGCAGAGGCTACATCTACATGAATGTTTTAATTCAAAACACTTTTTTTATTTACATCCACCAGCTGTGCTATGATGGCGTCTAACGGCTCCTGAAACTAAGGCTTTTGGAAACACTGGTGACTCCGTTTTAGTTTGAAAACTCTGAGGTTGTGCTACAGTCTGCATGCGCAGAAATTGAGACTTTGTAAACTATGATGCAGACACCAATTTTTGTCATCTGATTACTGTCACTAAATTGGTTCAGATGTCTTGTTTTGAATGACTACCAGTCAGTCAAATCACACATCATCCAGGCCTTTATGTTCTTAAGACATGCCCATAGTTTGACTAACTGATTGGTTTCATTTAGCTTTATAGATAAATATACTGGGTGTCATCTGCATAACAGTGGTGTTTCCTAATAATACCACCTAAGGGGAGCATGTACTATTGGTCCTAACAAGGAACCCTGTGGAACTCCATAACTAACTCTGGAGTGGAAGAATGAACATTAACATGAACAAACTGGAATTTGTCTGATAAATATGATTTAAACCAGACGAGTCTACTGTCTGAGACATAAAAAGATCATTAATGATATTCACTGGTGCTGTTTCTGTGGTATTGTGCATTCTAGTCCTGACTGAAACTCTTCAAACAAACAACATCTGTGCAGATGAACACGTATTTGACCTGCTTTGTTGGCTTTTGCTCCCCTGGCTAGTGGCTTATGTGTACTAACCATTTTCACTTCTAATTTCAATGTTATCAAAATTTTCTCTGCATCGGTTTGAAGAGGTAGATAAAAATCTGTGTCTGGAACAAACTGAGCACAATTTGCCATGTAAGTCCCAGTTGGTGGGGGAAGCACTGGGCTGCCTTTACATTGCACATTACAACTAAACACACACAGTTTTTACTCTGAGGTGGTGTTGGCTGTATTGGTCCATGAGGTAACCAATCTAGAGTAAATGAAAGCATTTCCATTCACACCATCTCTCAATTGCTCCCTTCCTCAGCTTGTAACTGATTTCCCTGTTTGTGCTACTTTCTGCCATAATTGCAATTTGATCAAGGTTTTTGTCCACAAGGGCTCCAAAACTGCCAAACCATTCCTGTCAATGTCAGCAGACTCTATGTTGTCTTCAGTCCACTGATGTCGTTAACATCGCCTGCTCACAACTCCTATGACTCTGAATTTGCTGTTATGGAATCACTGAAACCCATGTGTTTGGACTTACAGAGCACCATAGAGTCTATCCTGAGAAACAGCACCACAGTGTGGTGTACCGGCTGCACAGCTGATTTGTGGGATAAAGTGGAAACCAATACACAATGGACTGACTGGGCCTTGTGATTTCTTCTTATGATTGATTGGTGGCAATATCAGTCCTTGGATATCTTTTGGTGATTCTGTCGAGTCTGGGAAGTCGACATGAATGGCATCTCATGTGCACATTATGTTAGCCCAACATGTCTCTTTCCATTTGGTTGATTAGTGTGTGTTCTGAGTACAAGTGTTGTGTGGTTATAAATATTCCTTCAATTATCATTGAAACAGGTTTTGTTTTTGGTGTCACTTGTTTCTTCCCGGAGAGATGTATCATTTTTTTGGATTTTTTAGACACGGAGAAAAGAACCATCGTTTTCTGTACAGGTTTATGTGTATGAATATGTGTTGTCTGTTGTTAATGATGACAGGTATGGTGGGCTCTTCCTTGGTATGCTGTGAGATGTGAGGTTACATGTCAGATAGCATTCTTCTCCCCCATGACTCCTTTGGGCAGCCCTATTATTCAAAGTCCGCAGCTTGAAGGATTCTAAGTACAGTCCCTTGTTTGAGGCCGGGCTGTCCACAACCAAAGCTTGGACCTAGACTCGGGGGTGCACTTTATATTCTGCAGTATGTGGCTGTAAGTTGTCCACTCCTTCCTTCTCTCATTGGAGGTGAGCCTGCACATTTTGCTGGTCTGCCATGACCCTCAGGTTTCTGAGGTTTGGGTCTGTAGTTGGGTCCTCATAGGCCAAACTGTCCCTCAGTGGATGTCCTGAGATCAAAAATGACTTGAAACAGGGAAAACACTGACACTGAACCACATGCTTGGTTATGATTGATTGTCGGGTAGACAACAGTGTGTGGTGTTGCCTGTGATTCTGGAGTGGCAGGACTGTGTTGGTGCTGCTGCTGTTACCACAGAGCATGAATCTCTGGGACTTCGATCTTTCTTTTGTTCTTTTTCTTCTTTTCTTCTTCTTTTCCTGTAGTTTTCCTTATTGCTACTGTGCCAGTTCAGTATTTGCATGCTTCTTTTGTTCCAATTTAATTGTTTTTCCTCTCTGTGGCTGTGTGGCATGATGCACATCATGGTCTCCAAACCTTTGTCATTTTCATCAGTCCTGCTAACCCTTTCAGTGCAATCTGGGCTCCTTAAGACATGGCTTTCTTTACCTGATTTTTAAAAGTAGTGTTCAGAGATATCACTTACATTCCTGCCTTTCCTGTTTCCTGTCTCCATATTTGTTTGTATGGACACTTGTCATCTTTCAGCTTTCAGCCTGGCCTAGACGCTACCTCTGTAAATTCCAAATGGCTGATCATCTGTTATGTTATCACGATTCAGAAATTGCAGACGGGCTATGGAACAGCAATCTCTAAACAGAGGGGAGGGTCTGTAACACCACTTATCGAGCAGTAATAAGGTCTCTCGCCAGAAAGTTTTGCCATCTTTAACATCTTGAGTCACTCCTGATATGGTAGATTCATATCCTTTGTTGTGTAAACTGGCAGCTCCACCATTATGATTGCTGTCACTGTTGTTGGACCACCTGGTTTCACAACAGTTCACGTCTTGAGGCTTGTGAGTCCTGGTTGTTAATGGGCCGTTAGCCATGCGAGCTGGAGTGATTATAAAAACCTAAACTCCTCATCAGTCAGTTAGAACTGAAGAAGCCTCTGGAATGAGAGGTGAAACATCTTCAAGAACCTATAAGAAATCCAGTTGATTTATCCTGAAGCTCCTAGGCTCGTCCACTTTCCAATCGAGGCAAAGTTCACCATGAACATAATCTAACATTTGCAGCCCATTCTGTGGTACATAATAGCCTAGTGGCAACAAACTATAATTTGCTCCGCCTTGTTTGTATTTAATAATAACAGTCCTATGAAATATATAAATGTTACGTAATGATTAAAAAAAAAATTCCACTGAAATAAATAAATGAAATAAAAATTCCCTGAAATATTTTTTTAAATGATTACATTTATTTATGTATGTATTGCCTGATATATTTAGTTAAAGATTTATTCCATAACAGTTTTCATTTATTTCATTGGATAGTTCATTACAAATGGGTTTAACCCTTAGATGTCAGTTTTAAAAAGTTACACCGAGGTCCTGCAGGACAAAAATGTCCACATAAAAAACAATGCCAGAAACAACATTAACTGTTGATATATATTTTCACTTTCAATGACTTATTTCTTTGCATCTACATCAGTCTTGATCATAATTAAAACATATTCATTCATTTTCAGGTTTTTAAACCTTCAGTGCCAGTTTGTTTACACCATGTCATTGCTGTTTTGTTTTATTATTTAAAAAAAGACTAAATGAAAATAGTATTTTCTATAAAAATAAGTGCTACAGGGAAAATTCTTTTTTTGATTAATACAGGCTGGGATGTGTCCATAAATAACACCAACACTGATTTGGATGTATTTTTTTTAATGCTATGTAACATTTAAATGTACACATACACACATTTTTCAATACTCACACACACACCACACTTTTATACCAAAAGGATTTTAGTTGTTAACATATTTTTTCCAATGATCTTACAGTGCTCCATAATATAGCAGGAAGCAACAAAACAAATAAAAGCCTGCATTTGCTCCAATGGCCAAATATGAAGAAATGACATAATAACAGTTTTGAAGCCAAATTCCCCAATGAAAGCCCAATAACATCATGATGTAAGGGTAGAAGAATCAAAAATTAGAAAATATTATGGGTTTCAATGTTGACATTTTTTTCCTCAAGGTCCTGAGTATATTGATAATGTATTATGGCGGCTGAGGTTAAAATTTAAAATTGCCCTAAAAATACACACCTTTACCAAATGTTATGCCAAAAGTATAAACACAGCCAGTGAAGCTAAAAAAAAAAAAAAAGGACAAAAATTAGGGCTAATTGGTTATTTCTTAATGAATAGAACGGCATTTTACATTGTAAGGGCCTGGCTGATTTTAAATAATAAAAAAATAATAAATAATCAGACGAAACCGGATGTGAGCGTCACTTCCTGTACAGACTGCTGGAAACTTGACGAGCAGTTTGCAGCTCCGCCCCCTGCAGCCTGATCTCCTCCGTCCTCCAGGCGAGGCGCAGTTCATCTCAAATGACACTGTAAGGACTTTGTAGTCAATTTATATATATATATATATTTAGGTCCGCTTGAATCGTCTGTGTTTGAAATCCTGCCGGAGCCGGCCTGGTTTCCTGCTGCGGCGGCTCACGTTAGCGAAGTGCTGAACAGACGAGCAGGTGTCTCGGAGCAGCACAATGAGCAGCTGGGGAATAACGGCGCACTGGAGCCGGTGATCGCTTAATGAGTCTCCGTTCAACGGTTTGTCAGATGGTGTGAGCGGCTCCGTGTGCTGCTCCCTCAGGTTGTCATTGAGCACAGGCCGGTGATCCTGCTTGAGGTGGGTGATGATTTTTTTTTTGTTTTTTGTTTTTTTTCCAGTTGGCTTTGTTTAAGGATGAACACAATAGAGATGTAGGCTACTCCCTAATGTACAGCCACCGGCACTGCTGGCTCACTGATCCACACTGATCAGGGCTGGACATGGAAATGAGGACACACTGCCTGTTCTGACACCCATATCTATCGATTTAAATGTTTATGCGAGGGTGTGACTGTTGTAGGCCAGTAATGCTGCTACAGGTCAATGCATATTCATTGTGTTTGATGATCTCCTTCTGCCATCTTTAATGTTTAATACCACAGGAATTCAAATGTAGTCTTCATTGTTGTACCTTGTGAGAGATGCCATTGCCTGCGATGCATATGGATTGCTGGGAAATAAATGCAGTTATATTCTCTATTTAATGCAGACAAATTAAGTAAAAGCCTGTACAAAAACATTCTTATAGCAAACTCCTATTTCCTATTGGAAATCACTTAAAACAATTATTAGTTTTTCTCTAAAAGCCTGTCTCACATTATCACTGGATCATAATGCATGCAGACAGCTGGTTCACATCACTCACAGTCAGGTAGCAGCTTTGTTTTATATTCTGACGGGGAAAAAATGAACTCAAGTCCACCTGCCAATTATTTCAGCCTTCAGCCGTATGTCACGACAACAGAAGAAATTTCTCGTGAGTTTGTTAAGTTGTTACGGCTCAGTTGCTTTGTTAAGTTTATTTGTGAGATTTCTCTGTCAAACCATTTCCCAGTCCAGAAAGAGGCTTTACAGTCCGTTTGTGTGATGTTCTGTTCTCACACTGCACCTGTCACACTGTTTTAATGTTTGAAAGTTTAAATGTTTTATATAGAGCGAGATAGGCTTTCTTTGTTGGGAGCATCATCCCTAACATTTATTGCCAGTATTTTCAATTGGAAATCTGTGAATGTCAGCTGATATATGGTTTAAGTATTCCTGTGTAAGGCAGTTTAGTGATTCCTTAGTAAAGCGGAGATATTGATCATGGGTAAATTGTGAAATACTTGCTACTACAGTGTGATTGTTAGAAGGCTTGGACGGTATCTGTTTTTTTCCGACCTTAACCAACATTATACCACATTATACACTGAATTAGGTAAAAATTCCAGAAGGACACGTCATTGTCACACATCCATTATATATTAACTACATGTATTTCAGATAAAACTGAATTTCTGTTTAATATTAATTACTTGTGATTAAATGCTGAAGTTAAATGAAATTAACAGAAAGTAAAATTGAGCACTGTTCACGGATAGGTTAACGGATATCCATCCATCCATTATCCATTATCTAGAGACAGACAACCAAGCACACTCACATTCACACCTACGGACAATTTAGAATCACCAATTAACCTCAACATGTTTTTGGACTGTGGGAGGAAGCTGGAGAACCCAGAGAGAACCCACGCTGCACGGGGAGAACATGCAAACTCCACGCAGAAAGATCCTGGGTGTCCTCACTGGGAACCGGCGGCCTTCTTGCTGCGAGGCAACGATGCTAACCACCGCGTCACCTTGCAGCCCGGTTAACAGATAGGTTAAATAAAAATAGGTGTATTAAGACACACTCCTATGGCAGGAGAGTTCAGCCTAACCAAGACAGAAAAAAGACCATTTAAAAAAAAAAAAATAGCCAAAAAGTAATAGATCATCTTTTGATTTAGCATAAGGGAAGGTGATCTGATCTAAAGATCATATAAAAAAACCTTTTAGGATAGATTCACAATCCACGCTCTAAAATTCTCCCCACAGATTTAATTGAACTCGTGATCACATAATTAGCTGTGCATATGGTTACCTAAATACTGTCACATCAACTCGAGGCTAAAGGTCTGTATCCTGTTTGCAATCTCTTGTAGTTCTGGCCTAAAGCGGTGATTTGTATCTCTCCTAGTTTGATGCTTCTTTTAGGATATCGATCTGCTTGCTGCACCAGTGATCTGATCAGCCTGTACACGGAGAAACACAAGTAGAGACAGACCGTGGTTTGCTGGCTAGCAGTGACCGAATAAAGTCTTTATACATAGCACCTGTAGTGACAGTACTTCTACAATTCCTCCGAAAAGCAGATCATAATATGCCAAATTCAGATCAGCTATGATATAAGATCGCCAGATTACCCACCCTTAGTTTATCAGCTATAGGTCTCATGGATAGAATCAACCTTCTTTTTTTTTTTTTACTGTACTGCACACAGTGTCTGTGGTGGCTGCTTACTTGTATCATCAGATATGTACCCAGAATATTCTGCTGTATCCCCACTGGTGCTTCATGTTTCTCCAGACATCTGTTTCATAACTGACTTCTTACGGCGCATGTTGTGCACTATGGTACATCATCTTAATAGAGCTGCTTGTGTCTAAATAAGGAGCGGATGTTTTTGAAAGTATCGAAGAACATAATGAAGGCATTTCTGTTTTTCTATTCATTTCTACTGTAATATTACACAGTGATATGGTCCAGGTCTAGTCATTACACACATTATCCAGGTTAGTTTTTTTAAAATAAATTTAGGGACTTTATTGTGTTCCATTTCTTAAATCTTCCATTTTCTTTTCTCTTTCCAGGACAAAGCCTTGGAATTTACATTTTATCAGCTGGACTGAAAGCAAATCGGAAGAGTCAAAGGAAACAGAGAAGCTTCAGATATTTATGTGCCTGTTTGTGTCAGCTGAGCAAGATGAATAAAGACAGACCCAAACGGAATATCATCAAAAAAAAATATGTAAGTTAAATTTCTTTCCTCTTTAAAATATAAAAGTTAGAAAGTAAAAAATGAGTGTGTTTTCAGAATGGCCACACTTGAAAGTCAAGGTCAGAAGCCTGGCGGCTTTCCATTTATCCCCTGAATGTCCTTCAGCAGTCTTTGTAGCCTCTATTGAAACGACACAGATGGACAGATTCTGCTTAAAGGGATTAATGCAGCTGTGCTCAGTTTTTGACGAGAAGTGATGAGGGGTGAAAAAAGAGAACTTGTAGGAGAAGTTAAACTCTTCCTTCCTCTGCTTTCACAATTTCACAAACGATCGCTGTGTAAGGTGGGTGTCATTGTCAGGTAGTCAGTGTTTTATTTGCTTTTCAGATGCATCCAGGGGTGTCGAACTCCGGTCCTCGAGGGCCGCAATCCTGCAAGTTTTAGATGTTTCCCTCTTCCAACACACCTGATTCACATGATCAGGATCGTTATCAGGCTTCTGCAGAGCTTGATGATGAGCTGATCATCTGAATCAGGTGTGTTGGAAGAGGGAAACATCTAAAACATGCAGGATTGTGGCCCTCGAGGACCGGAGTTCAACACCACTGAACACGTTACTGGCTCCAGACATCATCTACTTTTACAGAAAGTGCACTCAGTGTGAGGATGACTTTAACATACTACCAGCATGCCAGCATGGAGGTCTGTGTGTTCTCTGAGATGGAATCTTCCTCAGCTGGTCATTTCAGAGCTGACGGTGTTTGTGGTTTTGCAGGACATCAGCGACGGAATGCCGTGGTGTGAAGAACGACTGGTTCGCAAAGTTCTTTTCCTCTCCCTCAGGGAATTCAGAGACAAACACCGTGCCACACACAAACACTCACACATCACTCACAAACGCACACACAAAGGCACGCTGAAAAACGCGCTCTTACACGCTCCACAGAAGACACTGAAACTACCGAAAGCAGACACACAGAAAAACACGCGCACAAGAAAGATTGCGCATAAGCAGCATAAAGTCGCACGCAGACGAGCGAACGCACATACGCAGAAAAATACTGCACAAAATATGCACATTTCAAAACACCTACACTCTCAAGAACGCACAAACAAAGGGCAAGATACTGACTTGTCTCAGGATTCACACCAACCAAAAAGTAAATGCACTCACACGCTACCGAACATGCAAACACAATCAAAATTGTATACAGGGAAAGTTTCACACGGTGTACAGCACACACACCTTCAGCACGTTTTCCAGAAGAGCTCTTTATCGACCAGGACGCTACGCTCACACACGACGCAGAACGCGCCGTTGACGCTGAACTCGAAATACACAGAAAGTGCAAAACACACACATACGAATCAGCACAAACACTCGGTGAAAAACGCCTACACACCTAAAAACACACGGACGCTGCTGAGCACTTCTGTCCCAGCCAGGACGTTGAGGTCACACACTCCCACAAGCCTCAGGGGTCAGTACTGTCGATGCTCTTCTTTTGTTCTGCCTAAGCTGTGAGTGTGTTGTTAGTTATTCAGAGGGGTTGTCGCTACTGTGAAAGCACCTTTAATATTACCAACCTGTCTTTTTTCATATTATCATTCGTCAGTAATAACAACATTGTTATTCAGCCAGACATTCAGCCATTTTTATTGAAAGAGCAAATTAAAGTAAGCACACTTTGTGTTTGTTTCCAACCTGATTGTCTGACTGACTTAATAAACCTTCTGGGCTGTAGCATGTAGTCATTTTGCATGTATTTGTTTTGTCCGTGAAGGAAAGCTTTGACATCGGTTCCCTGTGGCTTTATTTTATACAGTGCTGCCCACTTAATGTCACACCGCTTTATAGAATATCCCGTTTATAATCATAAAACATCAAAGTCCTGAATCATTTCCTGTACAACCTATAGTACAACAGCCCGTTTATTGTCATAGAATAATGTCATAATCACGGTTTTTGTCATAACGAAATTCCCCAAAATTGATTCCAGGAATAACTTTTGCCCATTTAAAGTCACGGTCGGCCGATCGTTACAGCTCACGGGCTGAGTGTCGGTCACGCGTGGCAGATCATCACACCCCAGTCAGCCGTGGAAGGCAATGTGTTTGTTTGCTTGTCGATTACCTGCTCACCTGAGATCTGAGTTATTCACACATTGTCTGACATTAATTAGGGCACATCAAAGAGAATCGTATCGTTGCAGAGCATGTCATCACTCAGAACTGAACTGCTCAAGCTAGTCAATCATGATGAGTTAATCCTCTGTATGCCCCCTGATAAAAGGAAGTAACTTTTATTGATGGGGTGACTTTTCGTACCGACAAAGGTGAAATTTCACTGAAGCAAAACCAGAAAGTTCTGTTTGAATCAGCATTTCTTGATCTTCAAAGACATTGTCCCTTTGATCCTGTGAAACCACTCCCATTTTGGCTTTACGTATAAACCCTCGTTTTTCGTCACTTGTACACAATTTTCCCAGTGCTCTATCGTTATGGACACTTCGATACGCTAACCTTGAAGCCCACTTATTGGAATATCCCGGATATAGTCGTAATTCCATCCTGGACCGAGGGTATGATAATAAACGGGCAGCACTGTACAACATTGTAGGTATAGATTGTTACTCGTGAGTATACTGCTTTATGTAACTAAACTTGTAAATGCTCTCTTAAGGCTCTCTGGTCAACGACGTCAGCCAGTCTCAGTCCCTTCTGTCGACCAGTTCGAGCTGGAGCTGGTCCTTACAAACACGCCCCCAGCAGCGCCGTCCTTCCAGCATCCGTTGCGATAAAGATGATCCTACCAGCAAGAAGTAGGCTCCAGTGTGTTTTTGCATGTGTGTGTTTGCATGACATACTAACAGTTGAAGAAAAAAAGCCTGTACCAAGCTCCCATCGGCTCCACGCTGGCCATAAGTTAATGGGTAGCAATGTGGTGTAATGCTAAGCAGTAAGAAGGTTCTGCGTTCAGACACGCTAGCTAACTGTGGCTGATTTGTGTTCTACATACGTTTTCTCTGGATGCTAAAGGCTTCCTCCCAAAAGCGAATTGCATTTTTGTTCCAAATTATGTCTGAGTTTACTGCAGCGTTGTAGCTGACCAGATTCAGTGAGACACAACCGAAGTCTACAGCTGCTGACTTACTGCTTTTGTAACACATTTGGTGTAGTCAACGTGTTAGAGGGCAACTTAGTGCCGTTACAAGCACCCAAAGTTCACAGATTGCACTGATCTCCTAAAACACAACCTCAGCTGAACGACTCCACCCGCCACACAGCAGACATGTGTGAAGGTCTAGTGGACAGAATCAGACAGTTTTAATGTCAGGAAGATGAGCATAGTCATGCAGCTTTAGTTGGGAATACTGCATGCTGACTGTGTTCCTCTGTGTGCTGAATAGCTCTTCAGATGCTGCATTTAAAGCACACATGCAGAGGGATTTGCAGGCTGCCCAGTATAATACCATTTTGATCTGCTGCCCTGCTTGGCAACAACTTTCTTGTAGTGAATATTGCGCACAGCTTCTGTGTGTGTTTTTGCATGTGTGTTTGCATGTTCATGCCTGTTGAAGAAAATCAGCGCTGTGCCTCCATTTGGTATTAAAATAATCAGTAGCACTGTGGTGGACATTTTTCCAAATTGTGGACATTTTTTTCCGTATATGTAGCTAAAAGTGATTTAAGAGTCCTGCAGTAAATCCTCCCTTCATGAGGGCTATAATGATCATTTATGTTGTTGAAAAGGTTTAGATCATTCTTGTAGGTTGTATTACGTTGTGTTATATTAGACACAGAGGGGATTTTTTTGTTTAGTCTCTCTCACTGATAAAAAAAAGAATAATGAAATTTAACAATTGAGAAATTGTTTAACAAACTACAGCCTCTAAAAGATGTTAGTTTCAAGTCATAGACAGGACAGGTTTACTGACAGAAAGCCTCTCTTTACAGAAATGAACCAAACATTTGGGCTTTTGTGATTGAGGCCTTGTACATATGATGAAACTTGAATTGAACAGAACATTATAACCTTAATGAAAGTAGGATTTATTCCAGAGCTTCTGTGGTTTTTTGAGCTAGGTGCACCTAACAAACCGGAGACTTGAAATGTATGTGTCTGTGTGTGTGCACATATGTGTGCATACACATGTGTGTGCAGACCTCGGGTGCAAGCACAGAGGAAGTTTGCCCAGTCACCTCCAAGCTCTCCAGGGCCTTCGCTGTTGACCACGTCAGCACAAACCAACCACAACCTGGCTGTAGTCACCTGCCTGACCAGACGTCGACCCAAAACAGAGGACTTCTTGTCTTTTCTCTGTTTGAGAGGTAAGAGACTGACACAGGCTGCCTGTATGATAGTTAGTACTCTGGATGAGCTTGTCACGAGGCTGGAGCACCATATTATTATATAGTGTGCTACAAGGTATACAAAAACTTTTAGAAAGACCAATGCAGAGCTTAATTTACACTCACCTGATTTCTTTGTGAAAGTTGGATATGTTTTTTAAAACTCTTGATCAGCTTCAGTGGTTTTTACAACTTGATGTGCTTTGAACGCTGTGTTAAAAAGGCTGCTGTTACATTCTTGGTTTTTTGAAAGAATGAGAGTGAACTTAGCCATTTGCTATCTCCAAGGAACACCACCACTCCAGTAAATACTCCCTGGGTTAGAGTGAATGGGAAAGAGAGAAATAGATGCATTTAAACAATGCATAGGAAAGCAAACACTGCATAGGTTGGTGAAATCAGAAACTGCAGATCAGAAACATGGAGCTCCAGAGCCAGAGATACATGCAGAGAGGACAAATTACAAACTATGAGAGAGAGAAGACACAAAGTTAGTGATAAATAGCGTTCTGCCGACTCACCTGACCAGAGCCCCATAGAAGCCCATATAGGATATTGTCAAAAGGATGATGAGAAACGGCCAACTCAAAAATACAGAGGAGACTGAAGGCCTCTAGCAAAGCAAGCTGGGCGTCAGTAACACCTCAGCAGTGCCACAGGCTGATCACCTTCATGCCACGCCTTATCGGTGCAGTAATTCACAGTAAAGGAGCCCCAAACAAGTAGTGAGAATATAGTATTAGTATATACTATATTTTAAATACTTCTTCTGATCGAGGAAATCTTCTACTAATTTGAAATACTACATCTCTGATTTACGTAAACTATAATCCATAATCATCAAAGTGAAAGAAATATTTCACTTAATGTTCAATGAATATAGAATATGTGAAAGTTTACCCTTTTGAATCAAATTATGAAAAAAGAGACCTTTTTCACAATATTCTAAAAGTTTGAGACACACTGGTAAATGTATGGAGAGAGAAAGACAGTAGAGAAGAGAAGAGGTGCTCAGTGCATCATGGGAAGTCCACCAGTAGCTTAGTCCTATAGCAGGATAAAAAAAAGGGATGATTCAGTGTCACCTGAACCACTAACTAGCTACAAGCTTTATCAACAATTCAGGCTGAATCCGAAAAGTCCTACATCTTAAAAGAAATGGTGTCTGCCTCCTGAACCTAAACTGGGAGCTGGTTCTCAGAAAAAGAGCCTGAACTGGCATTAAAGTAAAAATAGTGGAATCATTGTCTTAGATGTTGTTACTGCATCATCAATTACCAAATGCTGGATAATCCATTACTGTCCATTACTTTATGAGTCAGACAAAAAATGGTGAAAATCAAACAGTGAGTCAGTTTATTTAGAGTCTAACAACAAACTAAATGCAGTATTGAGGCCGTCACTCTCAGCATCTACATGAATATTACAGTCATCCACTAACAGTGTGTCTGTGTAGGACTGTGCTTCCTGTGTTCTGGGTAACATGCTGGCACGGTCTGTACTACTGGGTCCTGACTAGCTAATGGGCTGTTTTGCATGGTAGCGAGCTGAACTTCCGATTCAGTGACTCTTCAATGCTACAGACTACATTTAGTCCCATTATCAGTGAAGGTGATGAGGACTAAACATGTGGCCCACTGAGCAGGAGAGAGACGGAGGAGTGGAGCCATCGCTCGCTGTTAGGCTTGGTGCTAAACTGGTGGATCCAAAAGTATTCAATTAGAAAAGAACTCTGCAGAACTCTGAGTAGAGCAGTCGCGTTGTAATTTAATGTCAGGTGATTGTACAGAAAGATTCTGTGTTATTGGTTCAGGAAATATGAACAAAGACAAATCCATGAACAGCAGACAAATAGGAAGTGACACAATACGCTTTATTATGATGTCAAGCGTCAGAGAAGTCCATCTGTCTTCTACTGAGGCCTTTAGGATGACCTGCAGAATCTACAGATAAATTATGTTTTTTATTAATAAAGGAATGTGAGGAGAAATTATTGATTTAATTCATTTGAATACCAAAAGTACACCTGGATTTTAGATATTTCAAACGGTTGAAACTTTATTAATAATGTGTTAATATGAGCACCTGATGTCGATTTCATTTAAGTCTTTTAATGAAATTGTGCGTTAGTTTTAGTCAAATTGTTCATAATTTGGACTCTTGAGGTGTACTTATAGTCAAAAAAACATTGAAATTCAACTCTCCTTCATGTATCTAATTTTTTTTAACCTCTAAGTATTTTGCGGCTACAGCTTCTTTGCATGTTCTTACCGCGGTCACGTTATTGTCCGTGTGCTTCGGCTCTCCAGCGATACAACAGTCAGACTCCTCTGAAATCCAGTTACTGTTATGATTTCCAAATGCTGGACTGCTCTCGTTTTTATTTTCTCTCCCTCTCTCTGCTCTGTTCACCCGGCACTAACATTTGCTGCCCGCTCTCTCAACATCTTACAGAAGATGATTCACTTACTTGTTCTCTAAAGTCCTCCGAGGTATCCAAAATCATTTCTTCATGAACGTTTAGAGGAAGCTGTAGATGGAGGGAAGTCATTAATCCTGGAACTGAGCATAAAGATGTCCAGCTGAATATAGTGCTGACATTACATCTCCATCCCCTGTGTTACATTAGCGCTGATAGATTAATGTTGCTTATTTTCAGTGTCAGCTGCTGCCTGCATCATTATAATTTGTCTGAGCTGTGTTGTTGTTCCCTCTTCTCATCATAATCGTTTAGTTCATAAATCTGTTTCGTAAAGTCAGATACCATTACTGACAGAAACACACTGTTACCGAACAGAAGGAGTTTCTTTTTAACGACAGTATAAAAAGTAAAACAAATTAATCTACAACTCGTTTATTGATCAGGAGCTGCAGTGTGCGAGTCCACTGAGGCTGTGTGTTAAGGAGTAAGACTTTATGATGATGGTGTTATTGGTTTAAACACGTTGTGGTTTCAACATATTTGTTCATTTAAAAAAAAGGAAGAAGCTGCTTGGGATATGTTTTGTAATACTTCTGATTCACACTTGTTCTCTTGAATACATTTAACACACATCTTGCAATTGGGAGCCAAACACTATCGAGCCACGAGGCCGTAGCATACGATTCACATCATTTTCATCATTCAACAACTCAGTATTGACTTGCAGTGACCCTTCCCTCTCAGGGGACAAATAGACCCAAACCCTGCCAACACAAACCTCTCCACAGCATAGGAGAGCCCCCAGATCCCCTCACTGTGGGGAACAAGTGTGGATTTTGTTTTTAATTTGTCAAGCATCTGTATGCAGTACTTTTAGGGGACAAACTGGGAGCCACACATGATCAAAACAGATTTGCTTAATGGTGAAGTACTTAGAGGGGGAATTTGCTGCAATCTAGGACGAGGATATGCAGAGGCAATAACGTCTTTTTCTCTTTCACTTCAGGTTCTGCAGCGTTGCCTAGCAACATGGCCTTCTTAGCGAGTAAACGAGAGAAGATGCCAGCTGACAGTCAGCTTCTTACCTCCTGTCTTTCTACCAATCACAAGGCTGCAGCTGAGGGGAAGAACATTCGCATGCTCAGTAGAACAACAGGTACGCATCTAATGGGGGTGTGAGATTTTATTTATTTATTCATTCTTTATTTTTTACTGATTACATCAGTTATAGAAGTGTGTTATTTGTCCTAAAATTCTAATGACTGGGGCAACTTAAATCTCCCATTTGGTAAAAATCCCATTTTTATTGTGTGCTGGGGTTTGTAATAAACTTGGAGGTGTAAACCAAAAGCTGTTAAAATACCAAGACATTTCTATGTGTTTAGCTAGCCATCTAGCTCCAACTTCCTGTAAGCCTGCCCCCTCGCTGCCTGCTGCTTCCATCAGCTGCCTTCCATCACTTCTATTTACTTTCTAGAGCTGCTTCTGCTAACTGTAAAATGTCTCAGCCACATGCAAAGCACACCAAATGTTCAGCTGTTGGCTGAAAGAGTGAACACATGCACTCCCAGCATCTGAGAAACAAACACTTAGTGAATTCTTTTTATTATTAATGACATTATCTGTGATGGGATGCCCACAGGTCAGAGCTATGTGGAAACTGTAATGCTGAGGGATATTCAGAGATGGTGTTCCCTTTAAAACTGATTTGAATCGAATAGGATTGAGTTGTTTTTATGTTGCTGGCTGTGCTTCAGTGCAACCAGAACTCAGCTGATGGTTACATGTTACATGATGTGTGCACGTACACTACATTTTAATACAGCTGAATTATTAATTCAAAGATTCAAAGTGTTTCTAGTTACATGTGCAGTATGGAAACATTTGTCCCCTTTACTCTGAAATAGTTTCTTTGCTATCCACAACAAATGCCAAACAATATAAGTCTAAATACAAAATAGATTTTTAAAAAAAAAGGCAAAATAGAAAATAACTTTTCCATATTTTTATGTTTCTGTTGTCACACAATGGAACTAGTAAGAAGTAGTGACTGAAACGCAGCACATTAAGACTACATATTAACCAGCAGTCATTTCCCCAGCTGTGGCTCTGCACCACTAAAAGATCAACTTAATAACTACAACGTCGTCTGACAAACTGGAAATAAAGGCCGGGCTGTGAATGTTTCCATATAAAATGATCGCTCAAAGAAAAGAAAGAAATGATAGAAAGTCATTCATGTATGCCAGCTGTCCTGCGGTGAGCATTTTTCTCTATACTGTCAATCAGAAGCAGCAGTTCAGTGGTTTTAGACGTAGACTTAAACTGACTTTATTAATCCCCAGAGGGAAACTCAGTTGTTACAGCAGCATGAATATTCACCAGCATGGTAAACAAAAGCAAAAAGACAACACAGAATATTAGGGTAGGGTATAAAATGAAGATAAAATGAAATAAGATGAAATAAGATGAAAATATAGAAAATATAACAGAAAGGAAAAGTCAACTAAATTTACAAGAATATACAAGAGAGATACAGAAATGTGCAAATGAACAGAATGTGCACATTCTCAGACACTAGAACAGCCCAACAGGGTTAAAACCAGAGGTTATACAGTCATGATTACATGATTCTTCTTTACAGTATTTTGAGCTGAAAATGATAAAATAGTGAACCCAACAAGATGATTTTGCTTAAACATCTATCTGTCAGTCTTTGTAGCTCTGCATCTTTTCACTGTCCTACAGTGCAGCAAAACTCCAGGTGTCTGAGCGGGAGGCCTGCTGGCTCTGCAGTGGTCAACTCCTTGTGCCCTCTAACAGCCCGAGCACAGAGGAGGAAAGACAGAGAGGAACGAGAGAAGCAGCAGCAGAGGGGGAGGAGGGAGGGGATGAAGGAAGAACGGAGTAAAGCGGCTGAGAGACACCTTCTGAGACCTCGCCAGCTCTCCCTACAGGTCAGGAGGGCTAACAAGGTCTGATCATCTTTTTGCATGCTTTGCTATCTGAAAGATGTCTGGTTGTATCATTAATACAATGAGGATTACACACTTAGACACATACTGGACAGTTGATCATAGAACAGAGAGGGTTGCTCTTTTGGCTGTTTTAACCATTCAGGTTTAGTGACAAGGCTCCAAGGTCTGAAACAGACAGTTTTTGTTGCCATCTCAACAGCACCTGCTCATAGGGTTCATGAAGGTGCAGCAGTGTAAAGTGCAAAAGAGTTGGCTGAAGTAGAAAATGAACTGGAGCGTGTTGTGATTAGCAAAGTCAGACTTTCACAGTCGCATCAATATCTTGACAGTCTAAAACAGCTGACACAATGACAGTTTGATGAGGACAACAGCTTAACAAATGGAAAGAGTTTTCTCCACGAAATGGAGTTAATTTTTTAAATGGTGAAGAGTGGCGCAAGAAACTGGTAAACAAGAAAAACTACAGACTGTCTTTGCAATAATATGCATCTTTTTGAGCGTCTGCTTCTGTGGCATTTATGTTCTTGATAAATATTCGGGCTCTGTTATCACGGCACAGAGACAACCAATGAAAAGAACGCAGAACAGTTGGTTTTGTCTCAACCAGGTAGTTTGCTTTTACCAAAATATCAGTTGTGTATGTGTCCCTGTGCATTGGTTTAAGTACTTCTTCTACATTGTCTTAATATTTTATTCATACAATTTGTTTTTCTCCCCCCAATACATTCCATTGAGTTATATTACATGTTACAATGCTTACAGTCATGACTATAATTTAGACAATATAACAAGGGTCACATACAGACCACACCTCTTCATACTGAATATTAGTATTCTTTTGGTCAATCCCAGTGTCTTAAAATCTGTACTACAATGTGGGACTTTGTGGGCCACACAAGGGACACATTTAAAGAACCCTTCAGCTTCAGTGCGAATATGTATGGCTAAATTACTCAAATATTTCAACTTACCAGTGTGTATAGCATTAACTAGTCTTATAGTATTTGAGAGAAGTAGGTGAGCTGATATCCTCATGGTCCTGTGAGGGGTAAAAGTCAGGAAGTTCATAGAGCTGCACATTCTGGAGAAAGCAGCAGTGTAGAGTTACATCTAAGCCATGTTAAGGCAGGAAGGGATTATTTTCATGGAAACGTATAAATATTTAATTGTGATATGCAGAGATGAGTTTTTAGGCATTTGATAAATGAATCAGTGAGGACAGGGACTTATGGGGGCATTTCCATCAAACTAAAATTGGTTCCAGTGTAGTTAGAGCTAGTTAAATTTTAACCATTCCACAAGACAAAGGGTTTGGAAGCGAAAAAAGTTGTTTCCTTTTGGGAACTACGAAAAGGAGGAGAAACTAAAGCATTAACCAAGACAGCATCATGAGTGGGTGTACCTTTTTTAAAAAGGAAAAACGATGTTCAGGTTCTGTGAATAACTACCTTTTATATGTCTTGCATTGACTTGTTCACATTTATGCAAAATGCATAACTGGATCATGTAACGCTGGTGGACTTAACTAAATATTTGCAGTAAGATGCTAAAAGCTGGTGGAAAGGTTGGCTCGATCACAATGTAGGAGAGAAAAAGCAAGACACCGTCTGTCGAAAATTAAATGATGACTTTGTGAGCTGACCTTTGACCTGACCTGTCAAATTTTTATGCATGACGACCTTTTAAATTCAACCCATGACCTGACATGATGTTGAACTATTTCTGTCATATTTGATGAATTGTGTTGACATCACTTTATGACCACCAAGTTTTTAATATAAACATACACAGTTATATAACAAAATGGATCCAACTTATGCAACATTGGCCTTGTTTTGTCAAAAATGATGAATGAATCAGACTGTGACGCCACCGTGCTCTTTTCTTCACTTCTTGGGCTTTACATTACGTGGCACACACCAAACCCACCCTTGCTCTCAAACAGTAAAAAAACAGCCATCCGAGTCCAAGTCTGGCAGTTGAACAGTGTGTGTGACATCAATTTATTAAAGAAAGAAAGGAAAGTTAAAAAGTTGATGGCCTCATCAAAACAAGAAAATTAGCTAACCAGCAAAAAAAAAGAAAAGTGACTTGATTAGCTTGTGAGCCCAGGATGTTTGGTTCGTCCAATCTGTAGTTTGCCATCATACGGACTAACCAAAGGTTAAAAAAAAAAGATGATGGAGTTAGGGGAGTTCAACGCTAGCCCCAAGTGGTTGGTGAGCTCTCTTTAATGATGTGCTTTAGAAGGAAAAGAAGTTCTTGCACAAACCTTTTTATTCTGGATTCTGTTATCGACCCACAGGTGCATTGTGTTGGCATGTTTAACACAAAGCATTTTTCAGGCCATATGCATTACACTCTTCACTCATAGGTTGTTGTGTTGTCATTTTGTTCACATTGGGTGTTGTTCAAGGCTTTTTAGCAACACAACAAAAATTTCTCTGTAGGCATGTGGCCACACCTGAGCAGTCACATCCACCCAACATATTTCTTTTTACTCTGAACATAACACTCATAACAGTTTTGTGATCATTTAATTGTTCTCTGACTGTAATCCAAACTATCATGGTTTCTTTCTCTTATAGGTTGCCATGCTGACTAGAATCTCTGAACAAAGAACCTCCTGTGTCAGGTCAGTCACTCCCTTAAAGCCTAGACCAGAGGGTGGCAGCAAACAATCCTCTAGGCCCTGCACAACGCCTAGCAATACTCGTAAACCCAGATGCCATCCCCAAAGCAGACCCCAGGAAACAAACTGCAACAAACATGTCTCCCTCCATCGCAACCACCAGATGCCTCACAGTCAGCACCTTTCTCTTCATCACCAAACAGTCTGTAACTACTATAGCAACCCCAAGACCTTCAATAATCTCCAGAACTCAGGAAGAAATTCACAACGGGCTTCAGCTCAAATACCAATGACTAATGACTTAGTTATCAGACAGGTAAGTGAAAACCATGAGGTCCTGAGGTTGTCTAGAAGGAGGAGAGGCCTCCCACCAGACACCAGCACTACCCTTCCGAATCGGGCTCCTTTGGACATCAAGCCATCAAAGAAGGGCAGGACATTGCAGTACAAAGATGATGATGGCTCCCCGAAGAATGACTGCCATTTTGGTCAGATCCCACAAAAAGAGGCCAACGGTGATGAAGATGTTAAAGAGGACTATGTGGGTAAACTCAGTGGTAGCCCTGATATAGAACGTATACAAGACAGATGTTACCATGTTGAAGAGGTCAAACTAGAGAGTTTTAATGAAGACTTAAAGGAAAAAGTAACTGTGGCAAATGCTACTTCTCTGGAGCCCTCTCAAGAAAGGGTAAACTTTACCAATGTCATCACAGACTATGACCTCACTCCTGTAAGTGAAGTCATTTGCAAACATGTTACAGAAAAAACTCTCCAAAAAAAACAGCTGACTACAATCCCAAAGCCAATTATAGAAACTCATGATTCTAGGACTGTTGCCAGAGCTGCTACTGCTAGGACCAGTGCAGCTAAAGCTGCTATCAACTCAGTGACATCGACACATATATACAGTGACCCTGCAAAGTGCACTTCTAAGGGTTCTAACAAAGGTACGAGCAAGGACATTACCAAGTGTACTTCACCAGCCAGCAGTAACTGTGTTCATAATTTAAAAGGTGCTGCAAAAAACTCTTCCAGAGGTAAAACAAAGGACTTGACCAAGGACAATGCATCTGCCAGTAGCTATTGCAACATTTCCAAAGGTTCTACAAAGGGGCTTACCCAGACCAAGTGTACTACCTCAGCTATAAGGACCAGGTCCAGTCCTAGAATCCTCCCAAAGCGTTAACCGCCCAAGTTATGTCTGAAACTCTTACAGATCGATTATTCACTACACTGGGATTTTATGTTTAAGACAATTAGAGAAATGTTTTAAACAACACTGAATACTGTGCCAATGCATGATGATGCTTGTTGGCCAGTTAGATAGCTGACTGGATTGTGATGTGTTCTCTGCTTTTGTCGATGACTGTGGGATAATTTTATTTCTGTATAAGTAAAATAAAGGGAAATAATTGGATGACATGTAAGGGCAGACACTCTGTATAGTGGACTGTATTCTTGAGTGGGTTCTTATGCTTCCAGGCTGTATCAGAAATATTACACTGATTGTTTTTTGTTTGTTTTTCTACATTATTATATGGAAAAGGCATTGGTTTCAATAAAGCACATAGTTTAACCTACGTCAGTCTGCTGAATAGTTTTCAGTAGGTATCTGGAGAAAGCTAAAGCACATACACAGATATGTCATTGCTCTGACGCATTTTGTCAGTCCCTTAGCATTAAGGTTACACTACAATCCCTACTCCAACTGGGGTTAATCTGTTCAGCGCTGTCTAGAAGTCCTTATGTTTCTCACCTAAAACATCACCATGATTAAAGGTACTGTATGTTAGTATTTTATTTGGAAACTTCACTCTCTGCTAACCAGCTACCTGCTTCCATCCCATCTTGTGTTTTGCCCTTCCAGTTAGTCTCCTGTCCTGGAGACGGGCTCGAGCTACCACCATCTTCTTTCAGCTGGCGACAGTACATGGATATCTATCTAAAACTGTCTAACCTACCTATTTTATTATACATATACATATATCTGTTATACCTATACTGTACAGCATGGTTTCGTTATTGCTTTACTTTGTGTGCTAAAGCCTGACCTTTACTGTTAGCACAGCTATCGTTTAATAGATGTAAAAAAACAAAAAAAACAACCGCAATGATATAATGACAAGTGTTGTTTCTACCAAAAAACTCACAAAAGCAGCAGTCTAAACAGGTATCAGGGTTCAGATATTGGCCAGGTGGTGTGGCAGGTCCGGTGTGGGCCCTTAGGCAAGGTCCTTAGTGCTTACCAGGCCTACCTCAGATATAAGCAGGACAATAAATATAAGAGCCATACCGGCTCAGACATCACTCAGATTAACAAAGTCCATGTCAGGTGTTAGGGAACCAGGGCAGTCTGATGAAAAGTGGGCTACTGGAACAAGACATTCATGGAGTAGAGCAGAGAATATAGAACTGGTGTAACACTACGACACAAGCAATGCCAGTGATATAGGCAGAGACTTAACCCCAAAAGTGGGAGCAGCAGATCCAAGGAACAACATCTGAGATCTCTGTCCAGAAGAGCACACTCGTAACATTTCTGTATCTCTTTTAACTCACCCCGAGTCTGAACTGAACCATCAAGTTAACAGAAAGACATGCTCAAGCATGAGTCCTCTGAGTTGTGTGAAGTGTGAGGGGAAAGGATTTCTCGACATTTTAGCACTAATGTTCATCCAAAAACATATGGGAGGATGCTTAACACACAGTTTGTGTGCCAAAACCACAACACACCGTTTTCACTTACTTTGTTGTAAAATCTAAATCTAGTAACAAAATGAAATGTCGATAATAAACCTTTACTGGGACCTAAACAGACACGACTCACCAGTGCTGTGATGCACGTGCTTTTCCCCAACAACACAAGCAGAAGTTTGTTCCATTCAGCTGTTTAGAATGATTCCCTTTGACTATTTAAATACCTGAAGCAACAGACAGCAGTAGGATCCTCATGTGTGTCTGTGAAGAACGAGTTCAGCGAATTTGCACTGTGAACTCAATTTAGTTCTTACATTCATAAATGATCCCTGAGAGCATGGAGAACAGGTCGGTCTGGGCCAGGATCCTACAGCAGGTCACACTGTGTTGGTCTACTCGTCTTCACAGCACACAGGTGAGCTCTCAAATGCAGAATCACAGTTTACCAGCTGCAGTTCAGTATTTTGTTCCCACTCGGCTGTCCTTGGCTCTATACTGAGTTTTCACTGTTAAAGAAATCCAAGATAAATTGTGCTGATTGTTAGTACATGCCCTTGTTTATATAATGTTTTACACATTTATACAGTAATTCAAATGAGAGTAGATCTCCATGCAGACCAGCTTCACAATTTACTATGCAAACTTACTTTTTTTGGCGAATTAAGTAAAATGTGGGAGTCAAAACAGAGAAACCGCTTGAGTAGTAGGAAATCTGACTTCTGGTGGCCTTTTCTTTGATTTTAACAAGTCAGACATCGGATGTTCCGAGTTTTAAATGACCATTGAACGCTACATTACAACATCTGGCCTTCCTGAAACCGTGCAATACTTCTGGTGTAGTTCACCCTGAGTTTTGTCTTTCAGGCAGCTAATCCTGTCAGGTAGACTTTCAGAAGTTGGGGACGGCCGTATTAATATATTATTTTTTGTCCATAGTTGATGTAAGCCACCGTATGTACAGTGTTGTAACCCCTCAGAGCCTCCTGTGTAGGACTCATCTGATTACACAGACTCAGTGCTGCTAAATAGCTGCCTGCGAGGCTAAATCGAGGACTAACCGGTACTCATTTATGTACCAAACAGGCCAGGAACTATATGTGTGCAGAGCTTTGTGCAGCAGTTCAGTGTTGACAGTCAGTTAAAGAGCGCGTTTTATTTGATAAAGAGCACAACAGCAACAGAGACCGGCAGGAATCATGTTTGAAAACTTCAGAGAAAGACTTCAGCTGGTCCAGCAGGACTTCACAACCGGGTAGGTCTGCTTTCTAGCAACATTATTCTCTGCTGTAGCTAACATTGGTTCCCAAGATTTAATCAGCCACGACTAGTTGAGATGGAAACGTTGGGAATTGTCGTGATGTAGCATAACTTTAGCTAACTACTATTATTAACTACTGTTATCCACTGCAGACACATTATTAGCTACTGTGGCTGAAGCTAGTACCAGCCCCTTATTCTGCGGTTGTCCTCCTGACAGACCACTGGAACACCAATATGTGAGGCGCACTTTCGCATGTTTTCTCCTCATACCTTTCCGGAACTTTATTCAGATTTAGTTAAATTAGTTGTCGATGTTCTTGTTAACTTGAGGACGCTGAGTTTCGGTGTGTTAGCATCGTGCTAGCTTTAGCTGCTCGTGATCATGTGACGTCTCCTTTTAAATCCAGCTCCAGTGAACACTCGTGCTTTGGTCTGTGTCCGTTCTTCCAAATTTCCTGTCTCTGCTTCAGTAATGTGAATTCTAAAAACCCGTTTTGTACCGTCACTGAAATAGGACTTGAATAAATCTGTCTGAATATCTGTTTTGATAAGGACCCTGTGTTGTGATAAAGGTACTGATCAGCTGCTCCTGACAGCTGCTGTCACTGCCAACATCAGACTTTATTACAATTGTTCTGTAAATTTAAATAGAAACATGTGTGAAGGAAACATTGCTTTGTTCTCTTTATAGTTAAGCCTCTGTTAGAATGGCACTGACCTTTTGGTCAATAGCAAAAGCAGTACAATCATCCATTTGGTATCAGCTGTAGTTCCAGCAGCGTAAACAGACAAGACAGCAAATCAGGACCAAACATAAAAACATATTTATGCAACATCTTCATCACCAGCTGAATACATGTCGGGTTCAGAGGCAACACGTTCAGACTGTTTTGTAACTAGGCAGCTTCATTCGGTGGGATTAGTAACGCACAACTCAGCAGGTTTACAGATATAACACATTACCTCAGATAAGAATCTGTGTCGCTCAGAGAATCATCAGGAAGCATTTTGCTTAAAGCTTCTGACACACGATTTAAATCGGAAACTCTGAACAGAACCTGCTCCTGACCAGGTTAGCTCCACAGCATCAGTTACCATGGAGATCTAGCAGGTTAATACAGGACTGCCTTTGTGACACTGAAAACTCCTAATCTCACGTCATGGTACAGCCCACAGGACTTCAGACTGTCACAATTTAGTTATTTTTTTATTATATGTTCCTTTTTGGACACTAGATGTTGTAAATAAAAGCACCAGTACGACTTCTGTCTCCCTTTAAAATAAATAAATCAATAAAAAAATCATCAACATATATCCTGTGAAACACAAGGAGGTAACAATAATTGGGGAGTGAGTCATTCATTCATTCATTCATTCATTCATTCATAATGGTGAGTCTAATGCAAGGCACCTCTAACAACGAGGGACCAGGACAGCTTTGGGCTGTGATCTGCTTTTGTCTGGTCTCTAGTTCCAGTGCACTTTTGTGACTCATGCCTTGCTAAAATTGAAAATGTACTTTTCTCTCTCTGTCACTCTTTGGTTCTCTTTATATCACGTTCTCTTTCTTGCCTCCCTCCAGCTTCAAGACGCTTGGGGACAAATCAAAAGATGGCAAAATGAAGAGGAGACCCAGGTGAGCAGAGAACTGATATGTCTGCGACTGTAAATTATTACTATCAACATATGGCCTGTATCATGTCATAGGGAACAGTTCATGTCATGTTAAATTTGCTCTTTTTTTTTTTTTTTTTTAATCATTTTTTGACCACTCCTCCATAAAATTGTTGCAGTTCAACTGAATGTGTTGGCTTTCCGACACAGACTTGTTTCTTCAGCACAGTCCACATAACTCTAGCCAGACTTAGCCATGTCTTTATCACTTTTGATGTATGTTTGGGGTCATTGTCTTGTTAGAACACCCAATGGCAAACAAAGGTGATTTTTTTTGAGGGCAGTAATTCCAAAGTGGGAAAACGTGTGTTGCCACAAATGATCACATTATTACCACTGAGACACTGTGTGATTCTGTTTGTTGTTCAGGTTTGAAGAAAGCCTTCCTCATTTCAGTACCGGACTGGAAATACTTAACAGGTCTCTGCACACACACACACACACACACACACACACACACACACACACAAATTTGTGTACAGTACATTAACTTGCTTTCACTTCCTGGAGACTAACTCCTATCTGATTTATGTTATAGGGATTTTTTTTGTCGCCAACACACACACAGACTTACAAACACCTTTGATGTACATAAAGTGTGTGTTTATACATATAGAATTTGTTTCTCTAGGTATGAAGAGAGATGGTTTGTGCTCCACAAAAAAACTAAAGACTGTGCTCAGGCTGCAGAGGTATGAAGCTTTTTTCTGTTTGGCCTTGTTAGAGATAAAATGTCACATCGTTAAGTTCCTTTAAAATTCCACAGTTTACCCGTCTTTTATGGTGGGTGGCGTACCTGAGTTAGTGGATGATTGAATGTCACATGTACATAACTAGATTTGATTCTCCAAGAGAGAACACTGGTAGTGGGAGGAGCGTGTTGTGTTTCCTCATATCTAAAAATAAGTTACATCACCACATTTTGCCAAGTCTTCAAAGCCAGTATAGACGAACATAACATAACATAAATACCGTCAAACAACACGAGCTCACAAATAGGCCGCAATAGTGTATAGTTGGGCTGCAGCTATTAGTCAGAATAATCGAGAACGTTGACACTCCTCATGTGCCGACAGCAATAGTTTAAGTTATCGCATATTTATTTAACTTCAGTTTATTATAAAAACTGTTTTTCTTCAGCGTCAAAGTGCAGTTAGACTTGCTTTTGCTAGTTTATAAATAACGGTGGCAGTGGGAGAGTCCAACACGGTTAAATGTAAAAGTTGGCATAGACCAAAGCTTTGGGATATAAGAGTGGTTTAGAATATTCTAGTTTTAATAGAATACCCATAGACTGTATAAGATGAACGAGGAGGAGCCCTGAGTTTACAGTGAATGAGACTCCAGCCTCTGGAGCCCTCTGCCTCTTCCCTACCACCTGTCAATCATCCCAGAGCAGACTGTCAATCAAATAGCCACGCCCCCAATATGACCAAAACTTTGACGATTTATATAAAATTCTGTATTATTTATTTACAGATTGGCCACCTGATCTCTGGGTTTGATCATGAAAACTAACAAAAAAAAAACCTGAGCTGTAGGAAAGCTTGTATTTCGTGGTCTGTGATCACTCCATTTACAATTGGGGTCTACGGGAGCCAGGGCGTTTTGGAGCCAGCAACCAGCGGACATAGTGGTACTGCAGGTTTTTGACACTTTGGGTTGGCTTCATTTTTCAGGGCCGATTGTTACGTCCATTTCTTAAACAGTCTATGACAGGGGTGTCGAATCCTGGTCCTCGAGGGCCACAGTCCTGCATGTTTTTAGATGTGTCCTTCTTCCAACACACCTGATTCAAATGATCAGGATCGTTATCAGGCTTCTGCAGAGCTTGATGATGAGCTGATCATTTGAATCAGGTATGTTGGAAGAGGGAAACATGTAAAATTGTGGCCCTCGAGGACCAGGATTCGACACCCCTGGTCTATGAGAATACCACATTATTAATTATTTAGTTACAGCAGCAAAAAGAAAAACACCAAATCACAACAGGTTAGAAAATGTAACTTAAGTCTGTAAAAATAGAATAATAGGGGAAAGAAAGGGGCTAAAGTGAACACAGTGTGGCAGACTAAGAGCAGAATGACTATTTCAAAACGATAACTTCAACAAAAAAAAGTTGCTAACTTTTGCAGATTTGCTACTTTTGAAGTTTTATCTTGTACATGGAATATCATTAGGCGCTAGGAAAATAAGAGAAAAACTTTCTTATTAGAAAAATACATCATATAAATAATTTGAAAAATATATGTTTAGCAACCTGGCTGCCAGCTTTAATTATTTTAAAGCAGTGATAGCAGCTGTTTTATCGACCGTATATGTGCTCAGTGGTTGTATTATCAGTATTAGCTGTCACAGTAAATGAGTTGGCCATGAGTCAGCGTTTACAACAGCTTTCCTCTCTGCGCCGTCGTATCTTCACACCTCTGTGCGTTTTTCAGGCAGCAGATGGAGACATAGTGATGCTCTCAGCGCACTGGGAGAAAAGACGATCGGCTCTGATGCAACTACTGGAACAACTGAAAAGCTTGCCGGCCTTCACCAGTGAACTTGACGCCATCACTGCTAACATAGGTGAGCAGTCTTTCATTTCCCTTCAATAAAGGCAGTAAACGACATCATCAAGGTGGTGCCAGAAAATCAGGCAGTAGTTCTCATATGAGGATATATGGTTTGAGAAAATTGATGTAACATTTCTGACGTCAGATAAAGGTCTGAAGTGATTCTGTTTCTATGTGCATAATTGCTGCTGGAGATTTGAATTGGAGAAAGGTTTGCTAAAAACAGATCAAATATTTTGAGAGTGCTGACATAAGTGCTTTATAGGAACGATGTGATGAACCAGCCTTTACCACACAGCTCACTAGCAGCCCACTCTTTCCCCAGCAGCTGAGGAGCAATAGCATCACTGTGGGATCTTGTTTGAGTCACAATGTGTCAGAGTGTTTTGAAACTGAACATACATTTACGCATGCTCCTGGTCTCAACACTTTATGTTGATATTCATCTCTTGAAACAGTCACTGCCATTTAAACTGATGTAATGTTTTCTACACAGCTTTCTTAAGATGATCGTATCAAATATTCAGTTAAATAATTACCTCCTTCTACAGTGACTAGTATTTATAATGAGTCTGCGCCTCGTCCCATCTTTTCTCTCTCCTGTAACTGTAACTTTTACCGAAACATGAGACAAGGGTTACACTAGTGTTCATTTTTCAAGTCCAGATCTCACACATATGCTGTGTCAAAATACCATCAGTGTTTCACACAAAGTTTGCATCATGACCCTGTTCAGCTTGATACACCATGTTAGTAATCACATGGACCTCTTCTATCAAGAGCTAACGGCATCTGTCTCTTTTAGTGTTACTGCCAAGTTAGCATGTTAAATAAACTCATTTTATTGTTCCTGCTGAAGTAATACAATAACAACAAGCACAAACAAAGTAACGTTTGATAAAGTCACTGAACTGTCAGGAGTTAGTCCTTCAGCTGTGGTTTTGTATTGATAACTATAAATCTGTAAACTTAGTCAGCATGACTTTATTGCGGTTAGCTTGTGTTAAAGCTTAATGTCAGACAAATGCATCCATCCATCCGCCACTTTATCCTCTGTAGGGTTGTGGGGGAGCTGGACTCTCTTCTCTCCCGGTTCTCTGGCTTCCTCTCACACAGTCCAAAAACATGTTGAGGTTAATTGGTGATTCTAAATTGTCCATAGGTGTGAATGTGAGTGTGCTTGGTTGTTTGTCTCTAAGTGTAGCCCTGTGATAGACTGGTGACCTGTCCAGGGTGTCCCCTGCCTTCACCCTAAGTCAGCTGGGATAGACTCCAGCCCCCCATTACCCTAGTGAGGATTAAGCGGTGTCTAGATAATGGATGGGTGTTTTTGGACTGTGGGAGGAAACTGGAGAACCTGCAAACTCTACACAGACAAACCCCAGCCTCAGGTATGACATTTTCAAAACGTTTTAGGAAAGTAGTCATAAATTAGGCCGTTGTAACTCCCGTGAACAGGGACAGCAGTGCATTGACACTTGTATTGTCCCGTGACTAACTCACCATGCCATGTCAGTCACGGGACGATCTGGCGATGCGATTTAGATAAGTGATTCTTAGACGTTCATTGGCTGAACAGTCACATGACTCTCAGCAACCACAGTTTTGTTCAATCCCCACACAGAACTGTTTATAATGACTGTGGACAACTGGTGTGACTCTGACAAATATAAGATAATAAAATAAGTCAATAGTTTGACACTTGTTTCAATAAATTATCCATTATCATTTCATTCCCATTGCTTGGTTGTGTGTGGCTGTGATGATGTACCATCCAATAAAAATAATAATAATAATAATAATAAAGAATATGAATATATGAACTGCCCTGTGATAGACTGGTGACCTGTCCAGGGTGTCTCCTCCCTTCGCCGTAAGTCGGCTGGGATAGACTCCAGCCCCTCCCGCGACCCTAATGAGGATTAAGCAGTGTATAGATAGTGGATGGATGGATGGATGGATGGAATATATGAACTGAATTAATGACTTGAGTGACTGATGCCCTTGGTGCATGGTTTGCACTCGGCTGAGGCACAAAAAGAACACCAGCAAAGACTGACAGAAGATATGTTAATAACAATAATGATGTTGTGCCAGAGTAAAATATCGAAATAACAATGAAATACCAAAAACGCTCACCAACAGCTGACCTTGATGCCAACAAGTGGGTTTGTTCAATCAATTTTTTTTGGAAATTGACAGAAAAATAAATAAAAGCACTGCGTTGAGTAACTGTGTATTTTACAGTGTTTTTTGCTAAAACGATGAAACTTACTGGTTTCGGTTACAGCTCATTTGGAAGGTGATTTTGAGGAGATGGAGAGCAGGCTGGTGTACCTGGAGACTCTGTGTTCTCAGTGTGAGCAACAGACACTCAAACAGCATCATATCAACCAACTGGAAGTGTATAAGAAACAGAAGAGGTATGAAATAATGCTGCTAATACATGTTATTTGTTGGTGCCGTTCAAAACATCCATGGACACCTTGCAATGCATCACAGATAATAATACAACAATTAAGCATGAAGAATAAGCGAAATGTGATGAGCAGACTACAGTTAAGCTGTAATATGAGGGGACTTTTAAAGTTCTCTGCCTCACCCAGAAACAAGGGACAAACTCCTATTTTGGGGCTTAACTGAAATCTATAAAGCCTTGTATCACTGTGAACAGACACTCAAATGTTCAAAGCATAAAAAAGAAATGTAGATAAAGCTGCAAGCAGTTCAATTACACCGATTAAATTTGATTAAAGAAAAGAATGAAAGAATCTTTAAACACTGAACTTTTTCTGACTTCCTCTTTGTCCTTGCTTGACACAAAAACATAACACAAACTGTCAGAGAAACAGAATGACAAAATGCTGACTTGTCTGATGATGTTTGTGTTTTAATGGGAGCTTCTCTTGTTTGTGTTGTTGCAGGAAGGAGATGGAGTCGCTGGAAGGTGAGCTGCTGTTTATGTGTGTCTGTGAATACACACATAAACACACATGTGGGACGGTTTAAAGATTTATTAACGTATAGGATCTGTATTTACATTGACATCTGTATACAGACCGTCACAAGTCAAAGACGGGAAAGAAAACACAAAAATGGTAACCATTAAGTTATATTTAAACAGCAGATCAACCTAAACTGTGATATCTGAGATCATTGTATCCCTGACAAACTAAATGTATTGAAATGACATTGATTGGACTCATGGTAGAATGGTGTAATACTGTGATACTTTGTGCACTGATTTACACCAATATAACAGTAAATACTACAAATATTACATTGTTGCTGTACTGGTACAATAACAACTCTATATACTTCAGTTACTGCAAGACAACAAAACTGCCTCACTTTCAACATGCAACCTCAGTTAACCTACCGGACCACTGACAAGACATGAGTGAGGTGCATTCAGTCAAAAACAGCCATTTTGCTAGTTTACACTGAAACACTGAAAATCAATTTAAAAAACACCATGATTCTTCTCAGTATGGATAAGTAATTCAAACAAAATGACCACCAACCATGTGACTAAACCAGCCAGCTGCTAAAGAAACAAATACATAGTTTTCTTTTTTTAATAACAATTCTTCTCCATGTGGTCAAAGTTTTGTTCTGAGCATCTTTTTCCACAGACACCAGACTTTACAGTAAACCTAACAGGAAAAAAAACATAAACACAGACTTTAGAAAGTACTTGTAAAATAAAATACCATAAAAAACTATTTCAAGTCTGCTGCCAAAGGTTTTTTTCGACCCTGAAAGGGATTGCTCTGACACGGCTTAAATTAGTGACGGTTTCCTCTCAAGCCAAGCTCAGTGCTAAGATGTTTTGGTTGATTCTTAATGTCAGTCACACTGGTGTCAGTGGTTGTCAGTTAATTGTTTTTCACATGATGCAAATGAGCTAGAATCCATCATATTGTCAGACTTTTTGTAGGGTATATTGACGTGTAGCTGGAATAACTGGGACCTTTAAACTGCACAGTAAACCTATTTCTGAACACATAAAATTATTGATGGTTGGACAAATGGTCAAAGAGTTATGGTCAATTTCCCGCTAAGCCCTGCTCTTCATTTGATTAATAGCTGTCCTGCTTTTTACCTGATCTTGCCCTTTAATGATAGAATTGTGCAACTCCATCCCACAATGCTGCATACCAATTAATGCTGATCTAGTCAAAAAATTTAAATTAAAAAGTGGATATAACTTTACTGTTGTTCATTTTGTACAATTAGTCACAATCCATCATGATAGCAATCACTGTCCAAGAGATAGAATATATTGAGGTGTAGAAATGAAGTTTTACACTTGTAAATTTGAATTGAATAGGACTCACAGTGTAGGACGGTCTGTGAGGATTGTGGTGGTGGCTTGAAATCTACAGACTTCCAAGGAAAGGGAAAAAAAAGTCATCTAGAAGTAAAACTTTTTCCCATGTTGGATGGTCAAAAGTAATAGCCTCCTTCCTCTCAGCCAATCAGAGGCCAGTGTGCTTTAGTTGGCCACTTTGGAGAAATAGCCTCTGGGAGGGCACATTAGAATAATTTAATAATCCAGCATATTGGTGGGGGAGTGTTCCCCAGGTGAAAAAACATCCCCTTCAGTTTATATCAATAAAATTTACTTTTTGATGAAGCATGTGAGTGCATTTGTGCATTTTTAAGCCAATGTCTGGTGCCTGTGACCAGCTGGTGATAATAGTGAGTGATAATAGAGTGTAATTGTGGCTGATCTTCTAATCTTCTCAATGATGGTAAACCTGTTGAGCATATAAAACGGCAGCAGCACACACACACTTCGAATTCTGCTGTAAATGATGTAATGTGACACCAGGGATCAGAACCTATTCTAAAATCATGTCTTTCTGTTTACAGTCGACCTGAATTCTGAGCATGCTCATAAGGTGGCGGAGTTGGAGCAGGCTATGCAGCAAAAACTGAAAGAACGACAGAAAGTGTATGAAGAAGCCTTTATCCAAGACATGGAGCAGTACCGCTCCACTGGATACCTGCAGCATACAGGTCAGTTACTAGCCAGTAAAACAGGAGCACACTAAGCATTTCCACACTAATGTTGTGTTCATGTTGATGTTTTGAAAACATAGGTGGTAGAATATCCAAAAACGATTCAAATAAAAAGTAGAGTTACTTGGTAAAAACAAGTACCCACGTAGAAGTAGTCATTAAAATGATCAGTTGAGTTTGTGTCTGAAAATGTTTGAAATTCAAGTAACCCAAGTGAAAGAAGAAAAAAAACAGGAACACTGCATCTTCTTCTTACTTCTGTCAACACGATACAGTGTCCTTAAACCTTGGTAATTCCAGGACACAGTGGCTTCTCCATGTCTCTGCTGCTGAGAGGCACCCCACTTGTTGTTCTGGTGGTGGAGAGCACGGCCTGGTGTTTAACAGACATGGTGCTCAGAGTTCTGCCTAAAGAGTTCAGCTTTTTTCTTATCAGACAAGAGAACCTTTTTCCTCGTGCCCTTAGACTGTCAGTCTTGTTTGATGGGAGTGCTGATGGAAGGAGACAACTATAGTACATGATACTGAATATTTTCCAAACTCACTGTAGATGTCCCAGGTCCTACTGGTCAGCATAGACCCCGACAGGTCAGTTGTGAATCTAATCTAAATCTAAAAACATAATGACAGGACGTCTACACAAAGCTCACAAAATTAACGGGCGCAATAAAAATATAGAAATCAAAGCTTAAAAAGTCTCTTTCCATTAAACATTCAAGCCAACTGCAAGGTTTCCCTGAAAACCTGTAAGTAACATTAAGATAACAGGAGTGGCCAAATTAACCACGAATCTTTACGAAAACGGAGATAATGTTGTGACATTTCATGATGAATTGAGTGTTAAATATGGATGTGTTCTCTTCACTGTCTAAGATTGACCATCTGTGATTGGAGCGTTGGTTTTCTGCACTAAACAGGCTTATTTCATCTTAAATGATCAGAGACCTTCTGTTCAAAATCTTCTTTATTGTAAACTATGGGTATTCAAAATGGTATATGGGAAATTTTCATCTGATAAATGAAATGAAATGAATGAAAAATACTTTATTTATTCCAGAAGGGAAATTCAATAAATAAATTAAAAAAAATAAAATCAAGTACTTTCAGAGATTAAGTTCTTTAAAAATTGCACATTGACTCAAAGTAAGAGTTAATTGTATGTAAAACTTAATTAAGTGCATCCATGTGTTTGTGTGCACGTTTGCAGAGCCAGCAAGAGCTGACCTGTGTGTTCTGGATGAGATGTCGGTAACTAATATGTTAGACCAGGAGGCGCTGGATGACTTCCTTAACTCCACTGGTGAGGACATCAGTACTGGATCATCACTGACCTCAGGTAACACATTAGTAACCCAATGGAAATTCAAGACATACAATACCAGCAGAAATGTTATGTATTGTATGCTGTCAAGGCTGTATCTATTATATGATGTATTTATTATTTGTTTTTGTATTACATTGAGGAACTTAAGTATGTAAGTTAGTTTGGCTCTTTGACACTATGCTGTGTACAAACATACAGTCATTAGTCAGTTTAACATACAAATCTTCTCTCCAAATGACACATAAATTATCAGGGGAGGAAAATGCTATATGTGCTCTCAGAATGAGTAAAAATCAATGACAACACAATATAATCTTTGTGTCACCCTCTTCCACGATTCAAAAAATGAAAAAGCCTCCAGCTGATCTGCTTTCTGTGTAAATGCACCACACAAGACTCCGATATGACACGTCAAACTTCTGAATTCAATTTGAAGTCCATTGAGAGTGAAACTGAAGTTGCTCAGTACAACAGAAGTTTTTTTCTTTAACAGGTCCAGACTTAAGGTCCTGCTCCTCTGAATCTTTGAGTCACGCCTCTCCTACAAACATCCAGTCATCCAACCAGGATGCAGTGTGGCAGCAAGACGAGGAAGTGGCCAATGGGGAGAGTGATGAGCCGGAAGTGCAATCAGATGAGGAGGATGTTCAACCAGACACATCGTTGGTTGTTATTCAGGATGTTGGCCCAACCAGGGCCTCTGATGAGAGTGACTCTACAGGGGACCTGCCCTCTGGGTAGCCCAGCAAACAGTAGGGTTGTATGTGACCAAAGATTTTCTTATTCAATTAGAATTCGTTCAAGGAATAAGCCGACTAGTCCTCACATATTTATGATGATAATTTATTTATCTGAATATTATGAAATATCTTAATATTTTTTGGGGCGCAAAAGAAAATGATTTGAGTTCCAAGGCTGAGAGAGAATGCTCTGACACTGTGCTACAGTAGAGAAAAATACAAAACCGCAGCAAATAATGAGCCTTTAAAATATATTACAAGTGCATGCATGAAGTAAGCCACAGCATCGCTGGCAAAGGTGGCAGGCGAGTGATTCTGTATGTATTGGAAAAACTACCAAGAAGACTGACTATTTCATTTCTAAGCCTAATTATGATGCTACTTGTGCCAACAAAGCATAGTCCCTGAGCACCTCATCCTTTGTTAGTTATCACAGAAATTCTAGGACTCTACTGCCACTCGCTGGCCCACACGGGTCCCTGTTAAGAACAACTGGCTGCTTCTTATCTTGCAGAAACCCTGACTTTCTTGGGGTTGCCCTTTATCCTTCCTTTCCTGCCTAACATTTGTAATCACATGTACTAACCGCAGAAACCAGCCACGTGAAGGATAATGTCTGTCTGACTGATTCATCGCAAGTTTTTTTGTCCAATTGCAAATTGGTTGACAGACTCCTCTTATCAACTTATGTTGGTCAACTACCAGGGTGCAGTGCGAGCAACCACAACCTTGAAAACCCTTGAATACTGGAACACTTACTACTGCTAGTCCTCAAAAACACCCCTCTGGTGCTGTGTGGTGACTTAATGCAGCTCTTAGCACTTAAAGAAGTCTTCCAAGTTTTGAGAGATCTCCAGAAGGCCCAGCTCTTCAACCGAGAAGAAACAAAAGATCCCCAACGTCCAGACACAGCAGGAAAACCCCAGAGGTCCTCTGTCCACGCTGCAATAGGTCAAGGCGGTTTTGGTGGGACCGACACAAGATTAGGCAGGTGGTTTTAATGTTGTGGCTGGTGTATCTTGTTTCTCTCCGTTATTGTGGTGTCCTGAAACGATTAAATACATCAATAATGAAAAAGTGTTTTACCTGCATTATAGCTTGTTCATGGTAGCGGTAATCCAAGGTAAACATTGAGCTTTCTGCTGCCAACAGAAGAGGTCAGAAAATGTTTAAAGACAACACATTGTTGGTTTTGATCTTTCCGTGCAATGTGTTGACAATAAGACAAATACAATATAGAATACCAAACTTGTTCTTCTGTTTTGTTTAAAGACAACTATGAGTACATAGTTTTTGCCTGAAAACTCCATAAACAAGCCTGTTTTTGTATCTTTACCACATTCAACTATCAATATATCATTCTGTCTGTATAACATGCGTATATCAGTGTCTCGTTAGGTCTCACATACTAATGTAAAATGTTCTTATGGCAGTTTATAATTTGTTGTTTTGAACCTTGCTGTTGACTTTGTGTCTGAATATGTGTAACAAGCCTTAAACAAGAAGACCTGAAGCTCTTATTCATACAACATATTCATACCCATGGTGTCACAATCCTATTTCAGATGTCATGTTTAGGGATGCCAACATACTTTTCACTATATAGTGTGAGAGAAAAAATACAGGTTTTGTAATTTGAGTGAACTGAGTGACTGAATTTCTGTGACGAGGTGTAACGACCTGTTTTACCTTTTACACAAGTGATCGTACAGCCCACAGCCAGCATGCTGAGTGATCAATATCTGACTTATAGTTGCCATTTTTCAACAAAATAAAAAACAAGTTGATTGTCCATCAGTCATAGACACCATAGATGCTTCTTTCAGTGACACGTAGTAATACTTGCTCAGTGAAGAATTCTCCGTACAGCATATTGTGTCTACTGCATCTGTGGGAGGAACACACTTAAGGAAGCTGCTTAGAAAAAGTTAATGTAATAAGGCAAAGTTAAAACAGAGGAGCAAACAGTGTCATGTGATACAGTTTATTAAATCCATCCATCTAAGCCACAGCAGTTTAACTATTTTACAATGTTCAGTTTTTACTGGAACAGTTTAGAAGGTGTTGATTCAATTGTATAAACTTTCATTGCATCTACTAAGCGTTACTTCCTGTTACTTAGTCCACACTCACTGATACGAACAATGTGGCAACTGAAATATACATTTCTTCCATTAATTTTTGAATAATCATTTATTGCACATTTGTACAATTTGAATATCTTAAACTGTGAAACTACGTGTTTGAGTTGTATTTTATTTTTATTTTGCTTGAGGTTTTGACTGATCGCCTTTATCCCATATGAAAGTCTTCCAGGATGACAGTGACCCCATCCGTAGGGTACACGGGCTCACTAGATGATTTAATGAGTATAAAAATGAGGTGAATCACATGCTATGGGCTTCACAGTCACAACCCACCTGAACATGTGTGGGAGATTTTGTACACCGTTGCCATCATCAAACCACCAAATGAGGGAATATGTTTTGGAAGAACAGTGTTCTATACAGTTTGAGAGAGGGACCCTAAGCTTTTCTTGCACCAACACCTTCCTAAGACACTTTATGTTTGCTCATCCTGTTATCTATATTGGCCCTTGTTTTGTCCCTCTCGTGATGGCAGACAGGAAATCTTCAAATTCAAATGTCACCACAAAACTGGTGAATTGAGCCTAAAGAAGCAACATCAGGATTTCTCATAGGCTGTATAAAAGATGGACGTAGCAACCGGCCCCGAAAAATGAAGCCAACCCGGAAGTGTCAAAAACCTGCAATATCACTACGTCCGCTAGTCCTGGCTCCTAAAAGCCCTGGCTCCCATAGAAATGAACTGGAAAAGAAGTGATCACAGATCATGAAATACCGCATTCCTACAGCTCAGGATTAGTTTTCATGGTCAAGTCCAGAGGTCAGGTGGCCAATCTGAAAATAAATCAATACTGAATTTTTAAAGAATCATCAACATTTTGCGGGGCAAGGGGCGTGGCTGGCTTGATTGACAGTCGGCAGCGACCATACAGATGAAGCGAGCAGAAGGCGGTAAATGTGGGCGGGCGAGAGGGCCCGCCTCTCAATCCGTCTGACCAATCGCTGCTCCTATGGCTCCGCCCCCTCTGACAATTTTTGTGTCACTGGCTCCAAATAATGTCAACCAGGAAGTAGCAAAACATTGGCTTCATTTTCTCAGTGCAGAAAGCAACGGGTGACGTCCCAGCAGCTACCTCCATCTTTTATACAGTCTGTGGGATTTCTGAACTTGGAGCCAAACCTTTAACTATCGTGGACTCAAACGCTGCGGCATCTAGTTGAAGGTGAGCAGAAACCAGTTTTTTGTGAGTGCTGTGTTAGTTGTGGGTGGCTCCAGAAAGGCTGTGTTAAGCTGTGTCTGAGTGTGAAGTAAGAAAGAAAAGCCATAACCAGCTAATGTAGAAACTAAAGGAGATTAAAGAGAAAAGTCTAGAGAAGACCTCGGCAGCTGTAGATGGGCTATAAGAGGAGAACTGTGTTTAGAATGTGTGTGTAAATTGTCTTTGGGGAAAAAAAACAACTAAAAGCACAGAGTTTCAGGCAAATTGGAAAGCACGTTGATGTTGGTTTGAGAGATCGAACATGAAGAGAAAACGTGCAGGACAAGAAAAAGCTAAAACATCTCAATGTCTCAATTTTGCATATGCTCATCGTGACACATTCCCACAGCAGCAGCAGCTACACAACACAGTGACAGACCTGGACAACAACGGACTAGACAGAGCGATGACAAGGATGTCAGGAGACCAAGCTGAGGTGGTAGAGCCTGGCCAAGTGATAAAGCAGCCTGAACCAGTGTCACCATTAAATAACAGACCAGACCAAGACCAGTGGCAGCACCAACAGAAATGTCTTCTATGTCCAACCCTCATCCTGCCAATGATCCGAGTGTCCAGACCATGCACCATGACTGACAGCAAAGATGTCCTGAAAGACCTGCTGAGACCTCAGGATGGCAGCACAGCGTTTTTACTCAGTTGCGCGCGTTGAGCTGTAACCTGAAACAACTGAATAATGTCCATGAGCATGCTGTGCTAAAGAACAGTGAGTGTCCTCAGAAGGAAGATGGACATTAAAAATTTGACTGACTGCCTGAGGATTTGTGGAGAGATTGAGGATCAACAATACATGCATGCATGCACAGACTTAAGCAAATAAACATCAAATGCTTCCTACAGCTATATACATTATTGAAAAGACACACATACAGCAGACAGAAACACGTCCCACTTAAACATGACGCTGATAAAACTCGATTTACAATGACATGGACAATCTCTGGAGAGCAAATTCAGTTTCAGAGGTAACAGAATCTGTCAGGATGCTATAAAAGTACAAAAATCAACCCAAATTCAGGCCCAGTACATGAAAGCAATTGGCTGGAATGGAGCTGGGACACTGGAAAGACTTTGCTATGCCACTGAAACCAGATGATGATCAGCTGTTCTCTTCTGTTATCGCCCTGTTGTTGCAGCAACTTGCTTGGAAGAGACCTCATGTTGCTTGGGTGGAGGTCTGATTGATGACTAGACAGGCATTTTCAACCACAGAAGTGGGTTAAGCACACATTAATACGGATAAAAGGACATAAATAGGGAGGGTCGCACATGTTTCCTCTCACATGCTGACACACACACACAATGCATCAAAGCTGAAGAACTACATTGCAGAATATACATGAGTTTTTCACAACGCGTAGGCTCACCAGCACACACAGCGCTGTGAAAAAGTATTTGCTTCCTTCCTGATGTCTTCTAATTTTGCATATTTCTCACATTTAATTATTCCAGGTGATCAAACACTTACTGCTATTTATTTAATATTAGACAGAGAGAACAAAACACAAAATGCAGTTTAAATGATGATTTATTGACGATCTATTGAAAACCTACATCACCCCTGTGAAAAAATAATTGCCCCATAACCCTAATAGCTGGTTGGTCCACCCCTGGCAGCAACAACTGCAGTTGTTCTTGTGATCAGTCTTTTACATCACCATGGAGGAATTCTGGTCCAGTTTTCTCTGAAGGATAGTTTGAATTTGGCCACATTAGATGGTTTATGATCAAAAACTGCCCTTTTAAGGTCTTGCCACAAACATCTCAATTGAATTCAAATCCAAACTTTGACTGGCCACTCCAAAACCTTAATGTTGGTCCATTAGAGCCATTCAGAGGTGGACTTGCTCGTGTGATTTGGGTCACTGTCCTGCTGCAGAGCAGTTTGGAGTTTGAGCTTTAGGTCATGAACTGATGAGCAGATTTCCTCCAGGAGG